GATGTGGAGAAGAGAGTGTTAAAATTGCTCATGTCCTATATATCAGTTAAATTAGGCATACCTTGCAATTCACAGATAGCGGCGTTTTTTACAAATTTGCTTGCTCTGTGTTTGTGCACATTTTGGTAATTCTCACAATATTTCAAAATTTTCATTATTGTTATATTTGTTACAGCGATCTGTGATCAAAGATCTTTGATGTTTACTATTGTAATTGTTTCGGGGCACCACCAACTGCATTTCGTGTGTGTTCTGACTGCTCTACCAACGGGCTGTTCCGTTACTCTCCCTCTACTGGGCCTCCCTATTCCCTGAGACAAAAAGATATTGAAATTAGGCCAATTAATAGCCCTAACTGGTCTGTAAGTGTTCAAGTGAAAGGAAGCGTCGCATGTCTCTCACTTTAAATCAAAAGCTAGAAACGATTAACCTCAGTGAGGAAGGCATGTGAAAGCCTAGATCAGCCAAAAGCTTGGCCTCTTGCACCAAACGGTTAGCCAAGTTGTGAATGCAAAGGAAAAGTACTTGAAGGAAATTAAAAGTTCTACTCCACCGAACACAGGAATGATAAGAAAGTGAAACAGCCTTATAGCTGAAATGGTTTTAGTGGTCTGGAGAGAAGATCAAACCCACCCACAACATTCCCTTAAACCAAAACCTATTCCAGAGCAAGGCCCTAACTCTCTAATTCTATGAAGGCTGAGAGAGGTGAGAAGCTGCAGAAGAAAGTTTGAAGGTAGCAGAGGTTGGTTCATGAGGTTTAAGGAAAGAAGTTAACTCCATAACATAAAAGGACAAGGTGGAGCAGCAAGTACTGATGTAGAAGCTACAGCAAGTTATCCAGAAGATTTAGCTAAGATCATTAGTGAAGGTGGCTACACTAAACAACAGATTTCCAATGTAGATGAAACAGCCTTATACTGGGAGAAGATGCTGTCTAGGACTTATAGCTAGAGAGGTTATGTCAATGCCTGGCTTCAAAGCTTCAAAGGACAGGCTGAGTCTCTTGTCAGGGCCTAATGCAGCTGGTGACTTTTTAAGTTGCACCCAATACTCCTTTACAATTCCAAAAATCCTAGGACCCTTAAGAATTATGCTAAATATACTCTACCTGTGCTCTATAAATGAAACAGTAAAGTCTGGATGACAGCACATCTGTTTACAACGTAGTTTACTGAATAGTTTAAACTCACTGTTGAGACCTACTGCTCAGAAAAAAAAAATGCCTTTCAAAATATTAATGCTCATTGACAATGCACCTGGTCACCCAAGAGCTCTGATGGAGATATACAATGAGATTAATGTTGTTTTCATGCCTGCTAACTCAGCATCCATTCTGCAGCCCATTGGGTAAAGGAGTAATTTCCACTTTCAAGTCTTATTTAAGAAATACATTTTGTAAGGCTATAGCTGCCATAGTCAGCAATTCCTCTGACGGACCTGGGCAAAATAAACTGAAAACCTTGTGGAAAGGACTCACCATTCTAGATGCCATTAAAAATATTCATGATTCATGGTAAGAGATGAAAATATCAATATTAACAGGAGTTTGGAAGAAGTTGACTCCAACTCTAATGGATGACTTTGAGGATTTCAGGATTTCAGTGAAGGAAGTTACTGCCGATGTGGTAGGAACAGCATGAGAACTAGAATCACAAGTGGAGTCCGAAGATGTGACTGAATTGCTGCAATCTCATTATAAAACTTTAATGGATGAGGAGTTACTTCTTATGGATGAGCAAAAACTTAGTTGACAAGGAAGCAGTAGGGTTTGAGAGGATTGACTCTAATTTTGAAAGAAGTGGATAAAATGCTATCAAAAGCTTTGCATGCTACAAAGAACTTGTTTGTGAAAGGAGGCGTCAAGAGATGCTTCACTGGTGACTTAAAAAATTGCCACAGCGCCCCCAGCCTTCAGCAACCACCACCCGGGTCAGTCAGCAGCATCAACATCCAGGCAAGAGCCTCCACCAGCAAAAAAGATTACAACTCACTGAAGGCTCAGATGATGGGTAGCATTTTTTAACAATAAAGTATTTTAAAATTAAGGTATGTAGGACTTCCCTGGTGGCGCAGTGGTTAAGAATCTGCCTGCCAATGCAGGGGACACGGGTTCGATCCCTGGTCCTGGAAGATCCCACATGCCGCGGAGCAACTAAGCCCGTGCGCCACAACTACTGAGCCTGCGCTCTAGAGCCCACGAGCCACAACTACTGAGCCCACGTGCCACAACTACTGAAGCCCGCGTGCTCTAGGGCCCACGTGCCGCACCTACTGAGCCCGCGTGCTGCAACTACCGAAGCCCATGCGCCTAGAGCCCGTGCTCCCCAACAAGAGAAGCCACCGCAATGAGAAGCCCACGCACCGCAACGGAGAGTAGCCCCCGCTGGCCACAACTAGAGAAAGCCCGCGCGCAGCAACGAAGACCCAACGCAGCCAAAAAGGAAAAAAAATTATGTACATTATTTTTTAAACATAATGCTATTGCGCACTTATGCACTGGGAAATCAAAAAATTGGTGACTCACTTTATTACAATATTTGCTTTGACGCGGTTGTCTGGACCAGTATTGGCAATATCTCCGAGGTCTGCCTGTACAATCAAGTATTGGTCCATGCAATTTCAAAAAGGCAGGAAGCAAGCCTGCAACAGAACTGGCTGAACAGGAACGCTGAAGAGATAAGAACTTTCCCTATCTTGATTACTCAAAGGTATTCCTTTGAAAGACTAGATAAAGGCAAAAGATAAAACTACAGATAAAGAAATGTAATTAAATGACTAATATTTCAAAATCAATTCTATCTTAAAATGAGTTTCCATCTTAAAGGCAAAAAGAAAAAGAGAGAAGTAAAGCAGTGATTTTTATTTCCTTGGATAAACATGCCATGGCAGGTTGGACACTTAAAAATATTTTCTAGAAAAAAGGCTCTCACATGAGCTTATACTTCAACTCTTAAAAGAGTGTATATGCTTAATGGACTATTCTGGATAATTTGCAAATAACTGTATTTTAAAGCAGGCTTTTTTTCCTACATAAAAAACTACAGTTTCTATTTTACTGTGCCATGAATAATATTCATATGCTTGCTGAGCTATTATGTAAACAGCTGTAGAGTATATTTAATCTTTTCCTATCTTTATTGTTGTTCTGAGTAGCAAAATTAAATGGTAGCAGTACAGACTCTTAATGCCTCAGAGCCTAAAACATTGGGGGGATGGCACATTTCCAATGTAATAACTCACGTTCCACTGTTCCATAGGGTGATTCTGCATTCAAAAACTGCAACAAGCTTGCTTAATAAGACAGAAAATCACTAACATTTATTTGTTCGACAAATATTTATCGAGAGCCTGCTACGTACTAAGCCCTGTGCTAGTTATTTTGCATAATGTTTATAGGTAGGAAAGTGTGGGAAAGATTACAAAATTGGAAATTTTATCCTCCTTGAAAATGAATATATGCTATAAACATTTGAAGCAGGGAGAACTCTGAAACTTTTCTTCATTGGAAGAATTTGTCTCTCAAAACCACAATGAGCTATCACTTCACACCTGCTACAATGGCTATTTTCAAAAAGACAAGAGATATGTGTTGGTGAGGATGTGAAGAAAAGGGAACCCTTGTGCAATATTGGTGGGAAAGTAAATTGTGTAGCCACTATGAACACAGTAGGGAGATTCCTCAGAAAATTCAAAATAGAACCACCATATGATACAGCAATTCCACCTCTGGGTATAGATCTGAAGGAAATGAGATCACTGTCTCAAAAAGATATCTGCAGGACTTCCCTGGTGGCGCAGTGGTTAAGAATCCGCCTGCCAATGCAGGGGACATGGGTTCGAGCCCTGGTCGGGAAAGATCCCACATGCCGCGGAGCAACTAAGCCCATGCGCCACAGCTACTGAGCCTGCGATCTAGAGCCCGCAAGCCACAACTACTGAAGCCCACAAACCTACAGCCCATGCTCCGCAACAAGAGAAGCCACCACAATGAGAAGCCTGTGCACCACAACTAAGAGTAGCCCCCGCTTGCCGCAACTGGAGAAAGCCCCCAGGCATCAACGAAGACCCAACGTAGCCATAAATAAATACATACATACATAAATTTATTAAAAAAAAGATATATGCACCATTTGTTCATTGTAGCATTATTCACAGTAGCCAAGACATGGAAACAACCTAAACGCCCATCAGTGGACGTATGGGTAAAGAAAATGTAGTGTATATACACAATGGGATAGTATTCAGCCATAAAAAAGAAGGAAATCCTGCCACTTGTGACAATGTGGGTAGACCTTGAGGACATTATGCTAAGTGAAATACATCAGAGAAAAACAAATACTGTATGATCTCACTTATATGTGGAATCTAAAAAAACAAACAAACAAAAAAACACCCGAAAACCAAACAACTGAATGCATAGAGAGAATAGATTGTTAGTCGCCCGAGGTGAGCGGTTGGGGGGCAAGCAAAATGGGTGAAGGTTGACAAAAGGTACAGACTTCCAATTATAAGTGACTGGGCATGTCATGTACAGCACGGGGACTACAGTTAACAATACCGTATTGCACATTTGAAAGGTGCTGAGAGAGTCGATGCTAAAGGTTCTTATCACAAGGAAAAAAAATGTATGTGAGGTGATGGACGTTAACTAAAGTCAAGTCCTGTGCTGGGTATTGGGCCTTTTAACAGGTCAACTGAGATCTACAGTGGGTAAATTTTCAAATCTCCAACAACTCCTCTGATCAGGCAAATGGACAGACAACAGACCTGGTCCAGGGGCCCCACTCCGACAATGATGTGCACTGAAGCTCCCTCCCTTTGCTCGCTCCACCTGTCACCGTACTACCTCAAGGACATTGACAGTAATGCTGGAGATTCTTGGTATAAAGTCTTGTTTTTAATAGCACACATATATTCAAAGCAAGATCCATTAGCAAGCAAACACGCAGTAATAGGATTATCTGATATTTTAAAAAAGATCTTCCAAGACACAAAGCTTTCAATTAAAAAGTTATTTATTAAAAAACATATTCTTCCAATTCTGATTCCATTTAAATTCCAATTAAATAAGGAGTGATGTTCCAAAGCAGTATCCGATCAGATCCTTTTGTACAGAGGACGACGATGACCTCAAGAGCTCATTAGCTAGTAGTATAGTCTGCTAAATAGTGGTATATGACTCCAACTCACTCCCCTCTTCACAAAAGGTAAGCATAATTGATATACTTCATACCAAAAAAAACTTATAAAGCTTGTCTTCATATTTCAGTTAAAGATTTGGCTAATATAAGATGATAATGGCTTAAAAGAGCATCCAAGCAATGCTTCGGATTTTCCTTTTTTGCAAAATTCAAGGAAAACATGATTGTTTGGAAGTGCCTTCACTGCTCATGAAGAAGCACCTGAGATTTCCTTGTGTTTCCACTGTTCGTGTTTCCAGTGACTAAAATATGCTGGAAACATTTCTGAGAGCACTAGAAATGCCACACAGATCCCAGAGCTTTTAAAGAGTTTCTGACAGGTTCTGGAGTTTTTATGAACTTCAAACTAGTGTACAGGCATTAAAAAATGACTTTCAGGAACACACACACTGAAAGGAAACCCTCTAGTATTCTTCAGCTTTGAACGCTCTGAGGCGAGGACTGGTCTCTTTCAAGTAGTCAGTTTTTTCTCAACAGTTTCTTGATAAGCGACAAACCTTCTCAAGTTCATCTTCACGTTGTCGAGAACACACAGCTGATCTGGACTGTATTTAGCTCTCCCTTCTTTCCGTAACTGCCAAAAAAATATCATATGTGATTTGGTATATATCACTAATTCCTTTAAATAAGAAAGCATTTAATCTGCGGTGTATTTATTTTTAGAACAAACAGCAGTCAGATTTTGGTGAAACATTTTCACTTCCAAGGTGATGGAACACAGTACATTAGCCATAATAAAGATAAATTAAGATTGTACACCTTTTAAATGATAGTTACAAGAACAACTGAATTGTAGACTTTAAAAGAATGAGTTGTATGGTATGTGAACTATACCTCACCTCTAATCCAGAGCCATGGTTCTCAAATTTTAGCATCTGGAAGGCTTGTTAAAAACCAGACTGGTGGGCCTATCCACACAGTTTCTGATTTTCAGTAGGTCTGGAGCTGGGCCTGAGAATTTGCATTTGTAACAAGTTACCAGGTGATGCTGGCGCTGCGGATACAGGACACTTTTGTGGACAGCTGCTCTAAAGAAGTTTTTTGGTAAAATGCATTGTATTGTGTTTAGATGCAATTTGGGGCTAAATATATACCGAACAGCCTTTAATGCAACTGTGGCTTCATTCACAAAGGAGCTTCATATAAAAAACTAGATGTTGCCATTCTGGCTAACAGAGAAACTTCATCAGGGCTTTATAGCTTTGAGAAAAGAAAAACAATTAAATATCACCATCACTGCAATGCATATTAAGTAGGAAAATCAATCAGAACAATGGACATTCCAGAGGTCAGGGGTTACTTTCCTAGTTCACAGTTTACATCACTGCTCTCTAAGCGTTCGCTTCTACACAGTCTGATGGCTCAACTGCATCTGCTTTCCTTGCAGCTGCAGGGAAAGGGGACATCTTCTCCTTACCACGCAGACTGCTTTTTCAGAAGTTTAAAGGGCCTGTGATCTTTAAGAACAATGTGGACACCCTCCATGTACTGGTATGGAAATGTCTCTAGGAGACAGTGTTAAGTAAAAGCACATAAAGTACAGGAATGTGAATATATTATACTACCTTTTGGATAATGAAGGGGGAAAATACTAAGGTGCATTTGTCTTTGCTTAGAGAAACACCATTCAGTTTGGTTACCCATGAGACAGGGAACAGGTGGGAATAAAACTTCTCACTGCTTAAAAAATAAACACTAGGCCTTTGGGATCGGGGTGGGTAAAATGGGTGAAGGTGGTCAAAAGGTACACACTTCAGTTCCAGCTGACCCTTGAACAATGCAGTGGTTAGGGCGTCCACTCCCCACACCCCAGTCAAAAACCTGGGAATAAGTTTACTGTTGGCCACGGATTCAACCAACTGCGGATCATGTAGTACTGTAGTATTTACCACGGAAGAAAATCTGTGTATTTAAGTGGATCTGCCCCGTGTTATTCAAGGATCAACTGTATAAGAGAAATAAGTCCCGGGGATGTAATGTATAGCAAGGTGATGACAGTTAACAACACCGTACTATATATCTGAAAGTGACTAAGGGAGTAGGTCTTATAAGTTTTCATTACAAGAAAAAAATCTGTAACTATGTGTGGTGATGAATGTTAACTAAACTTATTGCGGTAATCATTTTGCAATAGGTACATATATCAAATTATTATGTTGTATACCTAAAACTGACACTGTATGTCAATTACATCTCAAAACAAAACAAAACCCAGACAAAGAAACAAACAAAACTACAGGCTTAAACAAAGCATAATTAAGAGTAAACTGATCAATTTTCCCCCCTCAAGACTAAAGTCACCTACTGGTGAAGCTTAACTCAGTAAGTGTCGGCCACTATCGCTACATTTTTAAATGTGGGATGCCAAAACATGAAAATGTTAAAAACAAACCAATTATTAATGTTCCTAAACTAATACTGATGTAACTGTGACACAGAATGTGCATGGCATGTGCTATTTTTTTCTTCTGCAAAAGAAAACTATTTTTTATGCCTTAAAAAAAATTCAAAAAGTTTAAATTTCTAAGCATACAATCCCATTCACCTAAAAACTTATCACAGAGCTCTGGCCACAGGAACTGAATTCTGCCTTAGAAGCTTGTTAGAGAAAAGAAACACGTATTGGAAAGCAACAAAAGTAAGCTACTTTTCCATTAAAGCCTCTATTCTCTTGACAAAGCTTTAAAAGCAAAAGTTTAATTTAAAATGTAAAAGCAAAAAATACAAATATTTTTATTTCTCAAAATGAAATAGAGATTTAGATAAGAGGAGAATTGATAAACTTACATTCGTGGACATGCGATCAAACGCTGTTTTTAAAATTTCTGGTTGCCTTCCCCCAACCACTAAAACAGTTTTTGAACATTATTTTTTTGACTCAAAGTTAGCTTTGATGCTTCTGATGAATCAATCAATCAATCAATCAATCAATAAAAGGGCAAATGAAGGTAGCTACGTTCTCCATTAGAGGCCAACTTGGAGTTTGTTTGCCTTTTTTTCAGAGCACCAAAGGGAAGTATTCGTAACAATGAAATCAGCCTATAATGCATTACATGATATAAAATAAATATAACATGTCTATGAAAGTGCTTTGCAGGCCAGACTGTAGTGCTTACACATAAGCACTGTTAACATTTCTAAACCGCTGCAGAAAGAGGAACGTGTCGACACCATTTTGGCTCACGTCACAGTGATTCAACAGAAAGGGAGACTGAGCCCTGACTCAGCCAACAAGCGTTTACACAGAACTGGGGATGGAGTGCTATATGAATCACTGAGATTGCACGGAGGGAACCACATACACCCTCCTCCCATAGAATGCTGAGACTTCAGCATTTCTAAATAAAATGCTACATACCTTCATTTTGAAGACTGGCTGGAATTCTTTCAGAGCAGATAACAATTTAATTTGAACTGAGGCCCTTTCAGCTTCTTTACCATCTGCAAAAACATCAAAGAGGGCATCCAAAGCCTCTCCTGCTACTACAAGGGAGGGATCTTTGGTGGCAACCTCAAGCAGAAAGCACCCGATGGTCTGGAGACAACAAAACACAGTTATCATCCAACATCCTAAGTCAGCTTTCAAAATTAAGTACTAACTCTAAAGGTGACAACAATTCTCGCATAAAATTTTACATAAAAATGCTAGGGAGGGACTTTCCTGGCAGTCCAGTGGTTAAGACTCTGTACTTCCACTGCAGGGGGCGTGGGTGTGATCCCTGGTTGAGGAACTAAGATCCCACAAGCCATGCTGTGTGGCCCATAAATAAATAAATAAATGCTAGGGAAAAATTAAAACTTTAAAAAGATCAAAGTCAACACATATTTATAAAAATACCAAGTATAACAAAAGCAAGATAAATTTAAAATCTTAGAGTTTATATTCCTAAATAAAATGAATTAAGATCCATAAATGATATATGAAAAACAGATATTGGAAGTTATTAAAATTTCCCTTCTATCTCCATCAAAAAGGCTTTTCCCATGGTGTCAAAATGCATATAAATATTATCTGTAAAAAAAACCCTCCTTTTTAAAATTTTTTTTAAATTAATTAATTAATTTATTTTTGGCTGCATTGGGTCTTCATTGCTGCAGGAGGACTTTCTCTAGTTGTGGCAAGCGGGGGCTACTCTTCGTTGCAGTGCGTGGGCTTCTCATTGCAGTGGCTTCTCTTGTTGCAGAGCACGGGGTCTAGGTGCATGAGCTTCAGTAGTTGTGGCACACGGGCTCAGTAGTTGCAGCTCGCGGGCTCTAGAGCACAGGCTCAGCAGTTGTGGCGCACGGGCCTAGCTGCTCCACAGCACATGGGATCTTCCCGGCCTAGGGCTCCAATCCATGTCCCCTGCATTGGCAGGCGGATTCTTAACCACTGCGCCAGCAGGGAAGCCCCTGCTTTTTAAATTACATGAAAAACACTCTAAGACAATTAAAAAACTAAAGAGCACATAATCTCATTTTGCATCACTGTGATGATTTTTAACATCTACCCATTTTTTTCACAATTAGCTAGCTAATGAACAGACCATTCCCAACCTGCAAAGAACTGTTTAAGAGTAAAGTTATTTTGGCTGTTCTGCTTCACACTTTATGTCTTAAGGGCGATGTGCACATCTGTATTACGGGTGGGAGAGTGGAAATGCTGAGTCCAGGGCTTCCCTGGTGGCACAGTGGTTGAGGCTCTGCATGCCAATGCAGAGGACACAGGTTCGAGTCCTGGTCTGGGAAGATCCCACATGCCGCGGAGCAACTAAGCCCGTGCGCCACAGCTACTGAGCCTGTGCTCTAGAGCCCACAAGCCACAACTACTGAAGCCCACGCGCCTAGAGCCCCGTGCTCCGCAACAAGAGAAGCCACCGCAATGAGAAGCCTGCACACCGCGACAAAGAGTAGCCCCCGCTCACCGCAACCAGAGAAAAGCCCGCGCACAGCAACGAAGACCCAACACAGCCAAAAATAAAATAAATAAAATAAAATAAAATAAGAAATGCTGAGTCCAAACTCCAGCTCTACCATAAATAACGGGGTGACTATGGGACAGTCCCGTTACCCACGCTGGGCCTCAATTTTCTCATCTGAATATAAGTGGTCTAGATAACCTCTAGGATAGTATTTAAATTTAGTATCTTATCATACAACATGAAATATACAGCATCACCTACGAAGTAGTTTTACTGAAAAGATTAATCTGAATCGAACCTAGCTTTTAGATCTAACTTCCATCTTGCGGGAGATTCAGAGGATAAAGGAACAAACGTAACGTCACAAGGAAGCAATCAGACAAATCCAGAAGCTGAACATTATGAGCCACAACCAACCCGGGAGCTGAGGAGAAAACAGGGGTTGGGAGGTGGCGCAAGAAGGAGCACAGCTCTAGATGAAGAGAGGCTTAGAAGACCCCCAAACAGGCACAACATGTAGACTTTACTTAGATCCTGGTTTAAACAAACCATCCACAAATAGATATTTTTGGAACAACTGGAAAGTTCTGAATATGGACCAGGTATTAGACATATTAAGAAATAACTGTTAATTGTGTACAGCATAATGGTGGTTATATAAGAGAGTGTCCCTCTTGTTAAGATATGCGTACTGAACCCATGGGGGCAAAATACCAGGATGTCTTTAACACACTCAGCAGAGCAACTACTTGAAGTATATATGATAGAAAACTAGTAATTCTTAAATACGCTTGATGGCTATACAAAAATTTACTGTACTTTCTACTTTTCTTCATGCTTGAAAATGTGACTAAATAAAAATATTTTAGAAATCTTATGTTATGCCTGAGAAAAACTCGCTGTTCCCCTAAAGTGGACCTTGGACCTTACAGTCTAAAGGGGTGGGAAGTGATTCCACCTACACATGCTCATCGGTATATGTGTACATGTACAGAGCCACACAGCCATGCTCTCTCACTTGGTGTCTATATATAATCAAAACCCCTGGAATGACGCAGAAGAGATGGGTAACAGTGGCTGCCTCTCTACAGTGGAACTAGGGGAACCGGATGTTTAGGAGTGGAGATGTGTCTTTGCACTATAGATTCTTTTCTACTTTCCTAAATGTTTTGCTATATGCATGTATCACCATTTCAAAATAAGCTTCTAAAAAATACCAGTCACATTGTTTAGCTCTTAGCAAGTTAAGAAAATACTTTATAATAATCAGTTTATAATCCATTATCAGCAATGGTGATTAGCACAACAAAGGGTAATTTTACTACTACTGTTCTTTTAGTTACTAGGCTGTATCTCTGGCAGTGCAGTTCCTAAGCAACTTGTTGAGATAAAGTGCTGGAAGCAAACATGCTGAGTGAGTTCCTGGTGTGCTGGCACTACCAGAGTTGCTGCTTAAAATTTATGAGAGGTCTTAGGATGAACTGGGTGGCTTTGTGCAGAATGCACTACAGCCTGGTGTGCTGAGGAAACTGTCTGGACTGTTCCTTCATCAGGAGGAGAATACAACATGTACACATCTAACGCAACAGCAAAGGCAGAGGCATCTTGAACAACTCTGAACCCTGGCCTTCCACTGAAGACAAATTTATTTTTGATAAAACATCTCCGGAGTAAAGTTAAATGGCAAAATGTGACAACTCTTCAAGTACCTATCTGATTCATGGAGTTAGATTAAGCCAAAGGGTATGTTTTAATAATATACCTTAGTAAGCAACTTTTCTTTTTCTTGCAATACATATATATATATATATTTTTTTAGTTTTATTTTTTGGCTGTGCCGCACGGTAGGCCGGATTTTAGTTCCCTGACCAGGGAGCAAACCCATACCCCCTGCATTGGAAGCTTGAAGTCTTAACCACTGGACCGCCAGAGAAGTCCCCAGTAAGCAACTTCTTGATATGATTTCTTCTCATGAAGTCCAGAGAAGTTTTTAAAATCCCACACCGATAGTCACTCTTCTCCCATTTCTAATGACTTAATGATTTAGGTTGGAAGCATATTGTTTTTACCTTAAGAGTGTCAAGTGTGCCATCTTCTTTGGCTAGGACGCTGCCAGTGATTCCTAAAATACTAACCACATTTACCCTCACCCCAACATTACTACTATGGATGCCTGCTCTGCATAGTGTCAACAGCTGGTCGGGAGTCATGCACTGTTGAAAGAGAAGGAGAGAGTATTTAGCATGTTAAACTCAGCCAATTCCAACAGCATGTGCGACGGGATTGGCAGGAGTCTCTTCTACAAGAGGCACGATGCTACAAGTGACACACACTCTCGGTGGAGAAGTTATTACATATTCTAATCACTCATTAATAACGTTGGTAACTCTGAACTTGGACGAGGCCTGCTCATGTCACTGTCACCACTTTTTCTATCCCATGGCTGTAAGCCTGTAAAAGAACCTTCAGATCCTATTTGTCTCATTTGAAGACTTCCATTCAGAGGTACACAGACCAAAGAGATTCTCATTTCTTTTCAACGTTGATCATAAAAAATGTAAATAGGACCATGCAGCTTTAATAAAAATGGGCTGAAATCTATACAAGGTAAGAACTGACTCTGAGATTTGTGTGTTATGGTAAATTAATAAAGATTGTAAAACCCATTAAATTATATAGTGCTTCCACCAAGTAGTGATAATTTTCATTTTAAGCTGATTTGAACACACAAGTGGACACAGGTATCACAAGAGAGTGCAAATGTCACTTTCCCTTTCATAGAAACTGAGGGTCAGAAGTTATGTTCTTTCTTTTTTTTTAGAAGTTACGTTCTTGAAAAAAATTCTCAAATATACAAAGAGAAAAAATTTAAAGAGTATATATTAGAGGCCAACATCATGTGCTATATTTAACAGTAAAACACCAGAGACTTCCCATTAAACTCTGGAGCAGGGCCAAGTCTGGGTTAGCACTGCTCTAGAGGTGTGGCCGTGCAATGACTAAGGACAGAAGGAAGACAGGCCACCAGAGGAAAGGAGGCCCAAGAACTGCGAAGCCAGGTTCCTGGGAAGAGCATCCACGTGGATTCTGAAATCACCTAGAATCATGACGGGACCAGTGAAAAGTAACAGAAACCAACAGCAGGAATCTTCAAGGAACGAGGGGTACCCTTGGGGATGGTGGGTGACTGTAACCAAGAGAGGTGGGGTGGTGTGGTCTAGTGACATGGTACTCAGAACTGGAGGATTTTAGAAAGGAAGCAGTGAGGACGGTTTAGAACTGTAGTTCCCAAACTTCAGAGTGCATGACAATCACCTAGAGAACTTGTTAAAACACAGACATCTCTGGGCCCCTCCCCAGAGTTTCTGCTTCAGTAGACTGGGGGCAAAGCCCACACACAGAGGAAAAAGACCACAGACCCGATAGCAAAACTGGCAAAAGATGGGAAAAGTTACAGAAAAAGAAATGCAAAGGCCCTTAAGACACATGAAAAGATGCCCAACCTCCTCACAGTAAGAGAAATGCAAATTAAAATTGAGATATAATTTCTCACCCATCAGACCACTTAAAATCCAACATTCTGACAACATATTCTTCTGGTGAGGCTCTGGCAGAACAGGCACTCTCAAACGCTGCTGGTGGAGATTCGAAACGGCTCAGACTCTAAGGAGGGGACTACAGCAATACCCAGAGCAAAGCTACAAATCCATCTGTTCTCTGAGCCGGCAAGCCCAATTCTAGGCATCGATCCCAAAGACACAATGGCAAAAAACACAACAGAACTTCTGTAAAAAGGCTATTCACTGCAGTTCTATTTGTGATAGCAAAAGACTGGAAACAACGACAATATCCATCGATGCAGACATGTTGAATATGGACTATGTACACAATGGAGTGATATGAAGCTGTAAAAAGGAAATGAGAAACATGTCTATGGTGATTAATAAGGGAGAAGAGCAAAGTACAGAAGCACTACTTTTAAGGAAAGGAGTGGGGCTTCCCCGGTGGTGCAGTGGTTGAGAGTCCGCCTGCCGATGCAGGGGACACGGGTTCGTGCCCCGGTCCGGGAGGATCCCACATGCCGCGGAGCGGCTGGGCCCGTGAGCCACGGCCGCTGAGCCTGTGCGTCCGGAGCCTGTGCCCCGCCACGGGAGAGCCCACAACAGTGAGAGGCCCGCGTACCAAAAAAAAAAAAAAAAAAAAAGTAAAGTAAAGGACTGAAATACAAATACATACATATTTTGCTTATGTTTACCAAAAAAAGAACAATAGAATGATAAATTAAAAAATCAAAAAGGATGATTACCAATGGCACAAAGGAAAGAACAGGGGCAAAGGGACAGAAGCTAGACCTCTCTAAATATATACATATGTATATTCTTTTGGGGGATAAAATATACGTAAAACTTACCATTTCAACCATATTTAAAAGTACAGTTCAGTAGTAGTAAGTACAGTACATTCACACTGTTGTTGGTGCAACACCACCATCCATCCCCAGAACTTCTTCATTGTTCCATACTACAACCCTGTACCCGTTAAACAACGTCTCCCCACACACCCCACCCTTACCCCAACTCCTGGTAACCACTATTCTACTTTCTGTCCCACAGATTTAACTACTCTAGGTCCCTCATAAGAGGATTCATACAATACTTGTCCCTTTGTGTCTTTCATTTAGCATAATGTCTTCAAGGTTCATCCATGCAGTAGCATGTATCAGAATTTCATTCTTCTTTAAAGCTGAATACCTTGTTTCAGTTTTAACTCTGAAACTGTGTAAATATTTTATATAATTAAAAAATTAAAGCAAACAAAAAATGCTTTAATAAAAGCTGAAACAACGGAAGCTAACTTTGTAACAAGCCACAAAGAGAACTTTTCAAGCAACTTTAAAACACAGTAATTTGTGTAGTCCTAGAGGGATTTTTTTCCCTAAGGACATGAAGAATCACAAAGAAATCTTAAACTGCATTCAGTAGTGTTATTGTTAGTAATAATACCATTATTTTGAAATTATTAACTGTATTCTGTAGGGTAAATAATTAATAATGAGTTTTTAATGATGGTTTAAAAAACTGGTTATTTTTAGAGACTGCTAGGACACCAACTCATTATTCTAGAAAAAAGGGTGGGGTGGGGGGAGGGAGAATCATACCCTATCTTTTTCGGTATGAAATTTATTTCAAAGTTACCAACTAATTGATGAAATAGGAAGTTTTTATTTATAGAAGAATCACAGCTAATAAATGCTTTAAAAGGAATGACAAAATTAGGATATCTCCATTTTGCAAACCCTATAGTGGTTTGCAAAATAGTGGATCTATACAACAAAAATCACTGGTTGCTACAAGTGAATCCATTGATTAATCTTAACATCACTATTTTACAACAATATGTGATTTGTGATATAAAAGTAGAATATACATACAGCACTGTGAATTATTTTTGCCTAAATGATCTGATCCTGAATCTAATTAAGGCTCTAGACCTAGCTCCCAATTTATAGGCAATATGGGAGACAGAGGGACCTGTTAAATAATAACATTGTTAAAGCAGCCATATCTGAGAATGGGGGAAATTCTTTAGGACAGATGACAGCATCTTCTTCTTCTTCTTTTTTTTAATATTATGGCGTTTTCTGGGTTTTTAAAAAAATTTAATTATTTTTTATTTTTGGCTGCATTGGGTCTTTATTTTTGGGTGTGCGCGGGCTCTTCGCTGGTTGCGGCGAGCAGGGGCTACTCTTCGTTGCAGTGCATGGCTTTCTCATTGTGGTGGCTTCTCTAGTTGCAGAGCACAGGCTCTGGGCATTCGGGCTCAGTAGTTGTAGCTCATGGGTTCAGTAATTGTGGCTCGCAGGCTCTAGAGTGCAGGCTCAGTAGTTGTGGTGCGCGGGCTTAGTTGCTCCGCGGCATGTGGGATCTTCCTGGACCAGGGCTCGAACCCGTGTCCCCTGCATTGGCAGGCGGATTCTCAACCACTGCGCCACCAGGGAAACCCGATAGCTTCTTCGATGAATAAATAGTAAGGGGAAAGGCGGGCAGGCAGGGGAAATGTTATAAATTCAAAGATTTAAGAATCTGTCAGTATACTGAAGACTACTGAATTGTATACTTTAAATGGGTGAACTGTATGGTATGTGAATTAAATCTCACTAACCCCGTTAAAATATATGTATTTAAGAGACCAAAATATCAACTAAGAACAATACATGGATCCTACTTAGATGCTGATTTGAACAAACCAATTGAAAAAAAAAAAACATTTTAAAAGCAATCAGGGGAAACTGAACTCAGACTGCATATCAAATGATAATTTTAAAACATCTGTTGATTTGGGGGTTTGGGATAATGGTACTGCAGTTAAGATTTTTAAAAATTCATTTTCTGTCACAGACACATAATGAAGCACACAATAAAACATTCATGGGTGAAATAATATGATTTGCTTTAACTATTCCAAGAAGCTAAAACAAAAATGTAGGGAAAGTGAAAGAAACAAGAATGACAAGATGTTGGCAACTTGTTGACACTTGGTGATAATGCTTTCAGGTAACAATACTATTATCTCTGCTTTTAGAAATGTTTGAAAATTTCCTTCATAAAAAGTAAAAAATAAAAGTGATAAGGCACCTATCACAGAGGTGCAGACAGATCACTGTGGAGGACCTGGAGTACATGCCTGTAAATTTCTGTAATAAAATGTTTAAAAAAAGACAAATGATTTCCAGAGAAAATACTTACAACACAAATGCCAAACACATTATATCAACTAAAAAACTGTGTATGTTTTGATGGGGGTGGTGGGGAGAAGGTAAAGATTTTACTTTTATACTTTCAGTACTTTTGTTTCCACTTTACAAGGATCATGCATTACTCTTTCAATAAATACTTAAAAATAGTTAAGCAATAAATTTTGCCTCCGTAATACAGAATCTTGGCTAGTTCCATAAAAAAATTTTAAAACCTTACCTGAGGAATGTTCTTGGAGGCCACTGTTTGCAAAAGGGCCCTCAAGGCACTACTTATAGCTTCTAAAAAGTCAACATGCTTAGCAAAATCTAAAACACAAAAGTGAAATATAAATTTGTTTTTGTCTTTCTCTAAGAAGAGTTATTTTATAGAAAAAGAGTCAAAACAAAGCATGTTAAATGTTAATATATGCTACAATATTAAAAACATTTGATATTTAAGCCCAAACTTCCACTTCACAGCTCCCTGTGAACTGCATATTTGAGTCGGAAAGATGACCACGATTGAAATAATCAGGATAGTCCTGAGAGTCCTTGACTTGTAGATGCTGGATTTTCATTTAACTCACACTTTAGCACGTGATAAGCCTGAGCTAACCTTTGTAGACTGAATTCAGCTTTTCACAGATTGCTATCACGGTGCTGGGCAGATATAGGGTAGAGTCACCTCCCAAGTCAGAGTGCCTCCTCGCCAACCCAAGCCCACTGCCCAGCCAAGAAGTGTTGCTTGTGCAGGGTCAGGCCACTATGCCTCTGGTTTTCAGTGGCTCCTGTGGTTTTTAGTGACCCAACTTCCCCTTCCCACTCTTGCTCATTTTTACTCTTTTCTTATTGTCCCTTCTTCCCACACAGGATAAACAGAACAACAGCAATAAACAATTATGCTAACACAGCCATATAGGAGGGTGAGGACCGCCTAGGTGAGCTGGCTCCCTAACCCCTTTGGTGGGAAGGGAAAGCAATTGATGTGGTGTGATAGGTTATATTTTCCAAAAATAGCCACAACAGGGCTTCCCTGGTGGCGCAGTGGTTAAGAATCCGCCTGCCAATGCAGGGGACACGGGTTCAAGCCCTGGTCCGGGAAGATCCCACATGCCGCGGAGCAACTACGCTCGTGCACCACAACTACTGAGCCTGCACTCTAGAGCCCGCAAGCCACAACTACTGAAACCTGCGTGCCCTGAGCCCATGCTCCGCAACAAAAGAAGCCACTGCAATAAGAAGCCTGCGCACCGCAACGAAGAGTAGCCCCCACTCGCTGCAACTACAGAAAGCCTGTGTGCAGCAGCGAAGACCCAACACAGCCAAAAATAAAAAAACAAATAAATAAATAAATGTATTTTTTAAAAAAACCCAATAAATTGATTTAAAATTAAAAAAAATAGCCACAAGAGTATTTCCAGTTCTGCATGATCTTGCAGAACCTTGCCACTTCCCATAAAGACTGTGGAGTCTATTTCCCCTCCCCTTGAACCTGGGTGGGACTCTGTGGCTTCTTCAACCAGGACAACATGTGAAAGTGACAGGCTAAGTGGTAAAAGGCATGACTTCCACCTGACTCACATGCCTTTGCTCTCTCCTCTCTCTCAACTCTCGCCCTTGGAACCCAGCCACCATATTATGGAAGCCCAGGTCACATGAAGGGGTCAGAGGTGGGTGTTTTGGCTGACAGCCCCAAACCAACTACCAGACATGTGAGTGAATAGGCCTCAGATGATTCTGGCTCCCAGTCTTCCAGCAGAGGCCCTAGGCTAGGGTTTCTCAACTTCAGCACTATGGACATTTTGGACCAGATCATTCTTTGTGGTGCATGTGGAGGCGCCTGGGCACTAGGATATTTAACGACATCTCTGGCCTCTACCCTCTAGATACCGGCAGCAACCCGCAAATTGTAACAACAAAAAAGGTCTCCAGACATTGACAAAAGTCCTCGGGGGGCAAAAACTGCTGCTAGTTGAGACACACTGGCCTAGACGTCATGGGGTAGAGAAAACCGTCTCCGCTGGACCCTGTCTAAATCCCTGACCCACAGAAACCACGAGAAATGGCATCTGATTACTGCTGTTTTAAGCCACCAAGTTTTGGGGCGATTTGTTATATAGCGGGAGACACTTTGTCTTCCTCCTCTGTGGTGCCCTTGGCCAAATAAAGCTTCTGATGCCCCTTTCTGGGCTGCATGAGAGCAAGGCAGCTTCTGCAAAGACTGGAATTAAGGCTTGTTTTACCTTTCGGCTCTCTCATTTTCAGATATATGTTATGCACAGAGGTAGGGAATTCCTGTAAGTATCACAGAACAGATACGAGGATACTTTAGGATCAGACAGACCAGGGACAGAATCCAGCCTTTGACATTATGTGACCTCTCATTTTGGTCTCAGCCCAAGTGTTAGCTCCTCAAAGGGGCCTTTCCATACTAACTAGTGTGACACCTCATACCATTCTGCTTTTATGTTTTTCCTTCCTAGCCAAAATGACCTTAAACCTTTATTTATATGAAAATGCAAGCTCCATGAGCATGGTGGCCTTGCCTATCTTGTTTATGCCTGTATACCTTGGACCTAGAACAGCGCAAGGCATAAAGTAAGTCAATAAATAAATAGTTGTTAAAAGGAGAAACCCCCCCTGAAAAAAGTTCCTAAACCTCTAAATCTCAGCGTCCCCATCAGGCAGGTGGAGTAATAAATGCCTAGCTCATAAAACCTAGTACCCAACAGGCCCTCAAAAATTGGTATAAAATTGTTACCATTAAACTTCCAAAAGTCACCATACTGGCTCTGAAAAGTAACTTATATTTGATTAAAGCTGTAAGTGTAGTCCTGAAAATCTGTCAGCTGCACATAAAACTATTAAACCATGTTATGAAGAACTAACTTGATACAAACTAGAACACATCTCAGAACCAATTTTTTTTCTATCCTCTATTCTTAGGAAAATAACAATTACCTTAGATTCAAAATCCTAATCTAAACTACACTACTGTTTTACATTACGTGAAATTCATATTTTCCCTAAATTTGGATGATTTTTATTTAATTCACATTTCTGTTCATTTATCCAAATTAGGGAAGGAAGTTCAAACAACTCTGCCTTTCTGAGAAATTCTCAGTAAAAGGTCAAGACATGTGGTATTGTCAAAAGAAATTAAGTAAATGTCAAAAGAAGTTAAACAAAAGAGGTGATTCAAAATGTCTTTCCCCGCAACAACTTTGTACAGCAGCTAAGAATTTGTAGCACACCTGAATGTAGGTAAATAGTCAACCCACAAGTAATCAAGCAGCAAATTATATTTAGGTGAATTCTGCAGACTGATTTTCAATGTTCTGATATGGAATAAAAACCATATCCCAGAATGGGTGCTACCACCATTCTAACTGTAATGAAAATGAGCTTTCTGCTCCCCAAAATCTAGGGTAGCAGGGAATCCTAAATGATTTTAGAACCCACATAATGGAAAAAATGACAAACTGACCCAATCTGCAAATACAACATTGCTAAAAATTTCTTATGTTTTGAAGATCAATATTTTAAATGAAGGAGACAAAGATGTTGGTGTTTTGAACACAAGGACCAGACTCTACTAAAAACTTGCTCATTTTATCTCTGATGTCAGCCACAAATCTATGTAGGTATGTATCAAAAATTTTGTAAGTATTCAGAACTGTATTTTAGCATCAAAACTAAAACAAGTTAAATACAATACAGCTGTACGATCCTCATACATTTAACTCTCAAACATGGTAACACAAAAGAGGGAAATTTAGCCCCATTCTCCCCACCAAATTCTTCAATAACAGTTCACATTATCCATGTAGAGCTCACAGGGTTACACTATTTTATAAATCCCAAGTATTTGGAAAGACTATACTAGAATAGTATAAATATAAGCAATTATCCTTTATGAAAAATTTCATTCTGATAAAAAGGTTATGTCTACAATAGCTAGGAAACTGGAATTTATTAAAAATCTAAGCGTTTAATTATACTTTCTCACAATTCAGAAACTTTCCATTACTTCTATAAGGCTCAGCTTGTTATGGTTTTCCTGTGATCTTTCCAGGTAATAAATGTGCCTGTACCAGTGACCAAGAACAGCCAGCTGAACTAGGAGAAACACACCTAAGTGTTTTCTGCATAAGCAGAGGCACAGAATATGTGCACTTACTTCCAGTGAAATAAACTCTTCATGCTGGCAAGGGATGGGGCTTGTAGGACCTTGACTGGACTCTCATGGAGAAATGGCCCAGAGGAAAGAGATGGCAATTGTGAAACTAGGGCAGACAGGGCTCTCTCAGGTTAAGCAGGTCTTGGAAGCACTAAGAGGTCTGGGTAGGTCCTGCTCGCCTGGGGGCCTAGCTGTGGACTCCCCTATCTGGCCCTGCCCGTTGCAGGGAGCCCATGGGAATGCGTGGATGGGACGGGGCATGAGCAATAGCAGTCTCCCCCAGCCACCCCGCCACAGGACATCCTGCTGGGCTGACGGAAACCATCCCTCTTGCCCCCCATGCCATCCAGATCTCGTTAGGTTTATAAGGCTGGGAGAGAAATATAAAGTTATAGTCATCATTTGGCCAGCTCACAATGACCAGTCACCTCTGTGCTCCAGAGCTGGCCCAGTACGGGCTTGGAACGGGAGTGGGGCTAACACCGCTCACATCCTGTCCAACATCCTGTCTTAGGTATGGCTGGGCATGTGGTTTTCACATGACGGCACCAGCTAAAGAATACACAACGTGAGATCACTTGAAAACTCCGCCTGTTAATGGACAAATATTGATAACTATATAATGAGTTTCTAAATATTTATTTACTTAATCTTTAAAAATTAATCTAGAACTTCTAAAACATGCACCGTTAAATACACAGCACCTCTTCATAGAGTGCAAGATAGATGTCTTAAAGAATCAGAGACCGACTCTTGAAGGAATGCTTACACAGAAACTTGTATTTAGTCAAAAGTGACCATATTTTGATCTTCTAAGAGTTTCAGCTCTTGGGCTTAGTACTGTGTCTGAGAAGGGGAAATGTTAAACAGTTTTGCACAGAAATAGAGCAGATTCATATCTCCCATATTAACCCTCACTCCAGACATACATGCCGGATAGAGTAACGCCAAGAATTTTCCTTTACTATGTAAAATACCTGTATTTCCTTTCTCGGTTTTGTTTGAGCTCCTATAGTTTAATGTGCCGAAGTTAAATGAGATTCTACTACAGTGAACTATGACAATCTGTTAGAATAGCATGCATTATACACTGTACAGCTAGATCATTTCAAAAGAACAGTTAACAAACATTCTATGATATTGCTTATATGTGGAATCTAAAAAATGATACAAATGAACTGATATACAAAACAGAAATAGAGTCACAGATGTAGAAAACAAACTTATGGTTACCAGGGGGAAGGGGGGGAGGGATAACTGGGAGAGTGGGACTGACATATACACACTACTATATATAAAATAGATAACTAATAAGGACCTACTATATAACACAGGGAACTCTTCTCAATACTCTGTAATTACCTACATGGGAAAACAATCTAAAAAAGAGTGGGTATATGTATAACTGATTCACTTTGCTGTACAGCAGAAACTTACACAACACTGTAAATCAACTATACTCCAGTAAAAATTTAAAAAAAAAAGAACACCTATCTAATGTACAGTATCTCTCTAGGTTTCTGCGTACAAATGAAATTAATCCATATCAGATACCTGTAACTTAGAGATTCAGCTTATACCATGCAAAGGTATTTGAAGAAAGAGATGTGTTAGAAAAAAAGCAAGGTGTAGAACTGTGTGTATGGTAGTCTATCATTTGCCTTAAAAATACACATACATACTTTGGTATCGAGAATCTCTCTGGAAGAATACACAAGAAACTGGCCACAGTGACCAATTCTGGGAGAGGAACTGGGTAGTGTGAGAAAAAGGAGGGAGGCTTTCCACTTTATGTGCTCTCAAACCTTGTGAATTCTGTCATACACATCTGTAGCACCCAATCAAATGTAAATCAAACGATTTTATATTTAAGAAGAAAACTAAGGAATAGAGAATTACCCAAATATCTTAATGAACCCTAATATTTATGATATTTGTGATGCAGCCTTAATTGTCCTGACGTAACTGGATGCAAGCAATTTTAATGAAAAAGATAAATATACCCCAGAGGCCTGCCTGCATACTTTGTTGACTCTATACCACCGGCAACTATAAATATATGACTGCTAGTGCCTGGGAAAGGTTTCTGCAGGTTGGATGAGAGACCGTATAATTACAAACTCCCAGTTCCTGGCCCTTCAAAATTCTGCTCCATCCCAGTCGTTTTTCACAATAAGGCCTAAATATTTACCTGGCTGAGAAAAAAGCAGTTGTGACAGATGCTGTGCAAGTGTCTGAAGGGCTGCAGGTCCTCCCAGATGGTCCACATCCAGGAGGGAGACAAGGCTCTGGAGACACACGAGGGCTCTGCATTGTATAATGCTCATTCTGCAAAGGAAGAGAGAGAATGCTGTCTGTTCCTCTCACAGTAACCCAGCAGAATTCAGCACTGACCTTGAAACTAAGTGTCAGATTCTGACTGGGACCATCTGTAAGCAGAAGGAGGTCTAGGGCAGTGAGCAAGGATTCGTAAAGTGAACTGTTAATCCTACCAGATCAGGTTTCCCTGGTGGCGCAGTGGTTGAGAGTCTGCCTGCCGATGCAGGGGACATGGGTTCGTGCCCCGGTCTGGGAAGATCCCACATGCCGCGGAGCGGCTGGGCCCGTGAGCCATGGCTGCTGAGCCTGCGTATCCGGAGCCTGTGCTCCACAACAGGAGAGGCCACGACAGTGAGAGGCCCGCGTATCGCAAAAAAAAAAAAAAAAAAAATCCTACCAGATCGAACTGCTTGAGCACTCAAGGCCTCTGAGGCACAGCGCATTTATGAGTCACATGAATCTGCTTGAGAAAAATTTCTATGCATGGCAGTATCTTTAAAATTATTTTTAATTGTGAAATATGACATACATAAAGCGCTCAACGAATATACAGAGTTTAACGGTTTACAAAGCAAACACCTGTGCATCTAGGTAGGAAATAAACAATGCTAGCACTATTTAAAGGACATGGAAGCAACCTAAATGTCCAACGACAGATGAATGGATAAAGAAGATTTGGCATATTTATACAATGGAACATTACTCAGACATAAAAAAGCATGAAATAAAGCCACCTGCAGTAACATGAATGGACCTAGAGATTATCATACTAAGTGAACTAAGCCAGAAAGACAAACGTCATATGATATCGCTTATAGGTGGAAACTAAAAAAAAAAAAGATACAAATGAACTTATTTACAAAACAGAAATAGACCCACAGACATAGAAAACAAACTTATGGTTGCCAAAGGGGAAAGGGGGGGAGGGATAAATCAGGAGTTTGGGATTAACATACACACACTACTATATATAAAATAGATAAGCAACAAGGACCTACTGTATAGCACAGAGAACTATAGGGTAATGACCTATAAGGGAAAAGAATCTGAAAAAGAATACATATATATCTGAAACACTTTGCTGTACACCTGAAACTAACACAGCACTGTAAATCAACTATACTTCAATTAAAAAAAAAGAAAAGAAAGAAATGCTGCTAGCGCCCTCACGGCCCACCTATCCCTTCCCTATCACGCCCCACCTCCTTGACCCCAAAGGTCACCACTCTCCAGACTTTTATAGCAGACATTTCCTTGCTTTTCTTTACAGGTTTACCACCTATGTATGCATCACTAAAGGAAACAGTTTAGTGTCAGTGTTCTAGTTCAGATTTTTTATTGCTGTATGTGTTAATCTAATGTGTTAAGAAGTAGCTCAGCTGTATGTATTCTACTGTATGATTATGTCAGCATTTATTTATCCATTCTGCCACTGATGGACATTGAGGTTGTTTCCAAGTTGGGGCAACTGTGAACCACACTGCTATGTGCACTCTCCTGTCTTAGTGAACATATGGGCAGACTTCTCCAGGGAACATACACAGGACACAGGGGGAGAGATCTTGAAGGGGGAGTCGGCATCTTCAATTTAATGGTCCATCATTTAATATAATAACATAATGACAAATGGTTTTGAAACTAGAAAAGTTCTTACTTTCTAATCAAAGGTTTCCAACTGGGGTTCCTAGAACACACGTCAACTGCAGTGCTGTTTGGAAAGGCAGTTTTCTCAAAAATCTAAATTTAAAAAGGAAGTAAGGCAAAGGTTAAAGAGTAGGGTTTTTACACGATTCCTTTATAAAATCCCAACATGTGACTTCTAAGTGAGATGGTCAGGCTTGATAAAGAGGTGCTCAGGAATTCCGAACAGCCCACCTCCAGTGCTGGTCATTGTTCTGTTTCCCAGATCTTACCAATTACCCACACCTGGCAGTATTAGCGTACTTCTTTTGCACACAGAAGGAACAGCTTTCTTCAGCCTTCCCTGTGCTCTAGAATGAGCCTAGACTGAAAACAGATTACCTTCTTTGGGATGAGGTAGTTGGTGAGAGCGGTGTGAACCTCATGGGAGAGGCAGAGGGGAGACAGCAGCTGCCCACCGCATTCACTGAGGGAATTCTCCATAAATGAGTCGCTTTCATCACTGCTGGAAAGCTCTTCCCATTCATCGTCAGTGGGATCTGGGAAGAGTGCAGATCACACAGAACTGGACTATTTAAGATAATCCTCATGGAAGCTGCCCTCCCAGTCCAGGGGAGGATATCTAAATGGGAACTGGTCACAAACCTTCACTGCAGCACATGTTGACAATGATTTCCAGAGCAGTCTGCTGAGCTGTCAGCAACGCTATGGTCTCTCTCAGCTCCTTGTCGGTGGGCTTAAAAAAAAAAAAAAAAAAAGCAAACGACCAACTCTCAAATGTGTGGAAAAATATTTTCATGTGACTCTCCCTAGTTAAAGCCTACTAAATGATATTTGCACTTGGAATAGAAGACATGGGTGGGGGTGGGTAAATAGAAGAAAAGTCATAAAGTGCTGGAAGGACAAACAGGCATTATAATTCCTCTTGGCACTGTGCAGCGTGCCACTGTTCACCGGGTTTCCATCTATCTGCATGGTTATTTTCTAAGTGTTGCTTAGTTAGCTGGAGAGAACAGAAAAATATTCAGGAATTCTGAACTAAATTCACCCTGAAACTTAATCTAATGTGTTAAGAAGTAGCTCAGCATACTAAGATTAAAACAAGAGTTCATTTTGGACACCAGGCACTTACACACAACAAACCTGCTTTTAGACACTTACACAGTTTCTTGGAAAAGGCTTCATTAACCAGAATTACTAACAGGCCCTTATATGACCAACAGAACTTGACTAAGGAGTAGACAGGCTTGCTGCTTTCTGGCTTTCTTTGAAGACTGCAATAAAGCATTTCTTAAAGACTGAAGGAAGAGGGGGACTTTTTCTCCTGGGAATAAATAACATGAACCTAACTTATCAATTAACATTCTCAAAATGGGTTGTATAAATTTATATGACCTTAATTCTCAAGTCACCTATGAAAAGTGAAACAGTTTCACTCCAAAACAGTACATAAGCTAAAAGTAATGTATATTTTGTTGTCTGAATGTTTCCCAGTTTCAAAAGTTTTCTGTCTTTTCAATGGCTGTAAAATATTCCATTAAATGAATGTATTATAATTTATTAAGCATTCCTCTAGCATGGAATATTTCAGATTACTTGGTTATCTTATTTCCTCAGATTTACTGGATCAAAGGTTAAAAACACATCTATAGATACTGTGACATATTCCTGTTCTCCTTTTCCAGAATGTTGTACTCATTTTTAATCCTCCAGCAACTTCTTGTGCAACGATTTAACTGTAATTTTGAACCACATTCTTAAAAAAAAAAAAAGAAGACAGCTTATTTAATAGATGTAGCATAGGAATCCCTATGTTTATATTCATTTTATTGCTGGCAAGAATGTATCTAGGGACTTCCCTGGTTGTCCAGTGGTTAAGAATCCACCTTCCAATGCAGGGGATGCGGGTTCGATCCCTGGTCAGGGAACTAAGATCCCACATGCAGCGGGGCAACTAAGCCCGTGCACTGCAACTACTGAGCCCGCGGGCCACAACCACAGAGCTCACGTGCTCTGGAGCCTGTGCGCCGCAATGAAAGATCCCATGTGCCACAACTAAGACCCGACACAGCCAAAAATAAAATTAATTAATTAAAAAGAAAAGAACGTATCTAAAATTTATTCCTACTCACTTCGTGCGTGTATGATATTCAACTAAACATTTCTTAGAGGCGACTCAAAGCTACATAAGACATGCCTTTGCTGGGCTCTCATCCACTTAAAACCTACGAAGATCTGGCTTAGAAGAATTCTGAAACTAAGTTCCACTTCTTTACCTGACTTTCCTGCTCAGAACATTTCCCTGCTTCTTGTTACCAAATTGTCCTAAAGAACCAATCTAGAGGAAATGTTATGACAGCTGAGATTTGCTTCAAAATATTCAGTAGTTGAGAGGGGAGAGCGGGTAGGGAAATAGATGAAAGAAAACAGACTGTGATTTGACAACTGCTAACTGTGGAAGCTGGGTAGGGATTGTCCTACTTCTGCATGTTACAGCCGCAACTTGGGTCAGCTCTCTCTTTACAGATTTGTGCTTATACCTTCTTAAGTTAAATGATGCAATTAAGGGTTTTGATTCTCAAGGATCCCTGCACAAGCCACTGGGCAGCCTGGAAGACCAGAGCTGCCTGGCTGTGAATTTGTGTTCCGGGCACGTGGCAGCACGACGCTTAGCGCACTACTGGCACTTAAACACCGGCTGCCTGATCGGCATGTTAATCATCCAGTCTACTCAGCTATGGTGAGAGGCTTTAAAAAGCAAGCTTTTGTTAAGAGAAAACACTGCATTTTCTAAGCACCAAAATTCTATTTCTAAGTAATACTTGGGAAAGTGAATCTCTAAATAACAGTTAAATATCGATACTTTTAAACAGTGGCACTTCATCTTGGTGGATGTGGATCTCAATCCCCACTCACTCATTCCCTGTATGGCCTCTGAAAGCAAGGCTGGAGATGAGGAAACCCTGCAGGAGTGCTGTTCTCCCAGCCAGAGATGTCCGATCTTTCAGAGTCCCCTGACAGCCCAACTGGAATTTCCACTTCTGCTCTGATGGGAATTCGGGGTGGGGAAACATAGTATATGTGCATCTGGCAGGATAAAGTGACCTGGTCAGCACGATGCAACACCTGCAGAAGAGCCTCCAAACCCTGACCTGTTATAGCTGATGTTCCACATGTGGATCCCAGATCTGTAACTCACCTCCACGTGGTACCTGAGGGGATGCTGCTGGGGTTCTAGAAACACCCTTTGGAATGACAAGGCTCATAGCTATGCCTTTGTCTATCTTGCCTTACTGATTTTAAATTCTACCCACTCTGACTCAGATGCACAAGTGAGACAAGGAGTAAATTGGGGGTTCACATACACGCCTCTTGCACCAAAAGGGGGTGATATGATTTTTAAGCCGCTCTACGATTTGCAAGCAACTCGAGCGCAGGATGGCCTTTTCATTTTCGTATTCACCCCAGCACTTAACACAATGCTTTGCACCTAACAGCCGTTCATGGGGAGTGTGGCACATATATACAATGGAATATTAATCAGCCATAGAGAGAAACGAAATTGAGTTATTTGTAGTGAGAAAGTAGTTCTTAACTACAACATCTGACTGCTTTAAGACACCACCAATTCAGCTTTACAAGACTTCATGAATGTTGGGCAGTGGTATACTGATGAGTTTATGCCCACTAAGAATTCTTTAAAAATAAATCTATCAAAACTCTAAGACACTGACCTAAGATACTTCTCAGTTTCAGTTCATTGTACATGAATCAGGACAGGCCACGAGTGAGATGGTAAAAAGTGTGACAGGACATTACTAGGGTTCTTCCAGTTCAGGCTTCATTGTCTTTCTTCCCAATGACTTCAGCAGCCTCCTGTCTGGTCTTCCTGCCTCCAGTCCCCTCAAACAACACTAACCCCCTTTCACCATGCTGTTTCTTACGCCATCCTTTAAGACAGCTAAGGTGTTCTGTCCACAAAGCCTTTTCTGAGAGCGTCTTCCTTTCTGCTTCCATCAGGGCTGAGTCAGGTGTGCCTACTCTATAGATACGACCCCCTCAGAAGTCTGTGCACAGCCCTATCACTGTTCTTAGCACAGGCATTATAATAAATTATCATTACATGTCTATCCTCTCAAGACGGAAAAGGTCCCTGAAGACAGGAAATATGCCTTAATCATCTTTCTATCAGCAGCACCTGGCACAGGGCCTGGCACACAGAGTAAGCAGAGAAAATGTGCACCTAGATGAATAAAGCCCAACTCACTGTCCTCCTTGTCTTCCTGACGACCTGCTCTCCTCCTTGGGAAAAATGTTTTCCCAAAGTATGGCTCCATCGCTGCTGACTGGCTCAGCTGAAGTGTTCCCTGCACCCAAGACTGCTCCTCCTCACCCCACCGTCACACCCACTAGCACAAATGGGCCCCAGTCAAACACTATAAACCAGGGACTTCCCTGGTGGCACAGTGGGTGAGAATCCGCCTGCTAATGCAGGGGACACAGGTTCGAGCCCTGGTCCGGGAAGATCCCACATGCCGTGGAGGAACGAAGCCTGTGTGCCACATCTACTGAGTCTGCGCTCTAGGGCCCGCGAGCCACAACTACTGAGCCTGCATGCCACAACTACTGAAGGCCACGTGCCTACAGCCTGTGGTCCACAAGAGAAGCCACTGCAGTGAGAAGCCCGCGCACCACAACGAAGAGTAGCCCCTGCTCGCCTCAACTAGAGAAAGCCTGCGTGCAGCAACGATGACCCAACGCAGCCAAAAATAAATAAATAAATTTATAAAAAAACAAAACAAACAAACAAACAAAAACTATAAACCAGCCTGCAAAAACTACAAACCATCATTAATTTTCATAATCACCCAACCTCCTCTGCTCGCCAGTAGGGGGTAAATGAAAGTTTGGCTTGCTACTTTGGTAAGGCTAAACACTAAAACAAAAGAGACAAGAATGCAAGGGACAATTCAAGCAAAGTAAAAATTCCTTTAGTTTGAAGACAGTCTGGAAGAGAATGTGTAACTGAAGTGGGAGATGACCACATGTCTCTGAAGTGCTGCAAAAGTATCGGTCTACCCCATCTTTCAAACCTTCTCTGTATAAAAGTTTTGTCTTAGGACATTTTTTTTTCTCCTTTGGGAGATTTCTGAGTTATGAGTTAATGGGGAAACATGACTTTTTTTTTTAACTGAAATTCACTTTATAATTAACTTTGCTGTAACATTTTCCTACAAACCTTAGGATACCTATTGAAAGGAAATAGCTGTATTAATCCATGTCTGAAAGCATCAATCCGACTTACTGGAAGTAAATCTGAAATGAAAGCTTTCCTTCTGACTTTCCTTCTAAGAGGAATGTCTTCCATTTCATCATCCTCAATCAAATCATCACCATTAACATTCTGTAATGTGCCCTCAGTGTCTGCAGCAGTTTTTATCCTTTGAGTTTCGGCCTCCTTCATTTGAAGAACCGTTTCACCAGCATCCATTTCCAGAACTTCAGATAAGATCTTTAGTATGGCATTTATGATTTCTGCCTGACTCTTGGATGGAATAATGTCCTTTAGATTCCAAATTGTGCCTGTGGGAAAAAAAATGAGCATAAGGACAAAGAAATCAACTGTGAAATCTTTTATTAAATACAGTTTCCATGAGAGTGGCTCTTTAAGCTCAGGTGTAATTTCAAAAAATCCCGATCCCACTGCCTTTGTTCAGTTTTTATTAAATGTCGAAAAGCTTTGCACTGAGGCAGCTCCCTTTATTACAGCAGTCCTTCACAATCGTCTCCTTTTCTTGGCACACAATGCCTTGCTCTGATACACCAGAGAGCAACAGATCAAGAGAACACCGGTCAAGTTTCTTTTACCACGACAAATTGAGCTGCCTGGCTTTCTTTCATCTTAACCTGAGCTGCTCTCCCAAGCAGCTTCTTATATTCCAAGAGTGGAATGGAATGCACTAAAATTCCAAGGTCTCACGGACAAGCAGAGAGCAGGTTCTTGGTTTTTTGCTTATGAAACTAGAATAGCTACCACGAAGTAGTTAGACTAATTAAAAAAAAAAAAATGTGATGGTTAAAATAAAAATCATTCCTGGGTATATATATTCAAAAAGAATTGAAAGCAAGGACTCACATGGACATCTGTAGAACCATATTCATAGCAGCATTATTCAATAACAAAAAGGTGGAAGCAAGCCAAGTGTCCATCCACAGATGAATGGATAAACAAAATGTCATATATACATACAGTGGAATATGATTCAGCCTTAAAAAGGAAGGAAATTCTGACACATGCTATAACATGGATGAACCCTGAGGACATTACACTAAGCGAAATAAACCAGTCACAAAAAGAAAAATACTGTATGATTCCACCTATTTGAGGCACTAGAGTAGTCAAATCCATAGAGACAGAAAGAAGAATAGTAGTTGCTGGGGGCTGAGGGGAGAGGGAAATGGAGTTGTTTAATGTGCACAGAGTTTCCGTTTTGCAAGATGAAAAGTGTTCTGGAGATTGGTTATATAACAATGCGAATGTACATTGCTTAACTGTACCCTTAAAAATGGTTAAGATGTTAAATTTTATGTTATGTGTATTTTATCAGTTTAGGGGAAAAAACCACCTCTCAAGATAAATTACCCGTGGAAGACCAAAGGCAAGAGGAAACTATATAATAAGTTTCCTACTACTTGACATGTCATCAGATTATTTCTTCTTTCTGTATTTAGAAATTCTGGGGAGATGCATTGCGGGTGAAGATCTTATAGGAAAGTGAATGGTCATTTCTTAGATGCCTACACTACAGTCAACTTCTGAACTCACTGGTTCATAAATAAGAGGGGGTCCTGACAACAGCATTTCTTTATCAGACAACAGTAGTTTGTTAAACTAAAAACACATTTAATCTTAGAAGGCTTTGAAACTATGCAGAACCGCTTGAATTAAGGGTCTCCACTAAAATATTAAAATTTTCAGAACAGACTAAGCACAGAAAGCCCTGATGTGGTGAAATGGGGGAATAACTTTGTCCCCCATCTCTACCTACTACAAGTTACTAAAAAAGCACACTATCACATATGGCTAAACTTTACCTGCCACCAATGTCTTTAATAGAATATATTCCATGGAATTGACAGGAGAAAGCATTGCTGATTCCAGCACATGCAATGCTGGGGCACTGAAAGATTTCAGTAGCTCTGGGTTATCTTCGGTCACCGTCTGCAAACAATATGCTATAAAGACAAACATCAAATATTTAGAAAACAATGAATTCTGCTAGGATAATTTAAACCAAAATAACTCATCAAAAAACATTTGCATCTGTACAAGTTCTTTGGACACAGGTAGCTTTTGTAGGAGATATACACTTTCCCTCAAACACGGAACATGCAAATGAGGCTTCCCAAACTATCAGAGGTATAAAAGACCTTTTTTCCTTTTTTCTTAATTTCTAATCCTTTATAAAACTATACTTTTATAAAATATAACTTAAAAGCCTCTTAACCGCCGTGACAATGTGGAATTACTATAAACATTTATAAAGGTTTAGCCTCTATTTCTGTACTCATGACAGACCAGTAGCAAACAGCCTGCAGACCAAACACCAGTGCACTGACAACACTCTCAGGGTAGTTCTGTTGTCAAAGACAAGCCCTAGGTTTGGGAACATTCTGGTTTCGCTGAAATTCAGCACGACCTTAAAAGTTAGAGTTATTTCTGGTGAAACATATTTAAGGAAAAAAGTGTTTTATATAAAAATATGAGCAAATTAAGAGATGGGTAAAATATTAATAGACATATGATTTATTTAGCACTTAACTGTTCTCTGGCATTAGAACAAGACAATGGATTACAACTTGTAAATTAGAAATAATTAACTGAAAGTATAAAAACAGTTGGGACTGCATGAAAGGTTTGGCTGAAGCACAAATGAGGAAGCAAGCCCAAATCTGTTTTCTTTGAGATACTGTAGACCATACAAATCCATTTCTTTCCAGGTCTAAAACTTCCAAAGCAGATCGTTCCCACCCAAATTAGTAGTCAAAATACACGCTATTGCTGTGCTCTATTTTGGTTTCCAAAATACATTTATATATAAATCCATATATATGCATATATGTACATATACATATATCCCAATGTAGTATTTTTTTCATTAAGAGACTAATTAAACTCACTTTAGCAAAAAAACAAGGTAAGTTGTGATTGCTATGACAACACAAGCTCAAAGAAAGCTATATTAATACATAGGATGGAATCTCAGAATTTCACTTTACTATACGTAAGCCGTGCTTGATTTTCAAAACAAAAGTAGTTTGACATTTGTTTAAAAAATCATGAACCTAGGTAAGTGCCAAGGAAAACACTGCTATACAATGCAAAATAACTTTATTCTGATCCATTTTTTTGAAGTTCTTTAAAAAAGTTCTTTAGGAAAAAAACTAAATAACCAAATCTACAAACCTTAAGGCCCCAAAACAGAAGTGAAGTTTCTCTTTTAAAAGCTATGAACTTTCCTGAAATTCTCTTATTGTAATAAAGACTTACCTCTGAGACTAAAAGTCACCTACCAATTTCCTAGTTCGACTGTTTTTAAAATTCTCATTTACTCACAAATCTCCCCTTTGCTAAAGATTCCATTTTGAGAAACTGATTTAAAAATTTTTCTCAGTAGTATTTATTCCACTATTATTTTTTCCTTTTCTGTTCTATGTCCACTAGAGCCAAGAGAAACACTGGTAAGGGGAATACACTTCAGTAAGTGGAATAAACTTGTCCTTGGCAGGAGAAATACACAGTTAAATAAAAGGACAGCCAGATGCCTATATTATGATGGGTAGAAAAAAATGCTTTTCACCCATTATTTCTCCATTTGCCCCCAGAGTTCTGCTGAGCCACCCACCCTCTGGTTTCTGTCTCCTCCACCTGCTGAGTAAGGGTCCCCGGTGGCTCTCTAACCCCATGTACAGAAGGCGAGGGAGCCAAGGCAGCTGAAGCTGCCAGACTTTGCTTTCCCTGTCTGGAAGGCAAGCAGGCCTATGTGAAATTCCAATCACTTATTTTCCTCTCTCAAAAAAAACACAGGTTATCAGAAGTATTCTTCTGGAAGTATGAGATAGTGGTACAAGCCATTTAAATAAGTCTACATTCCAATTAACTATGGCTCAAAGGCCTGATAGTCGTGGGTTACTGTTTCTCGGCAAATGGGAGATGAAAGCTTCCAGAATTAATAAACCTTCTAAGAATGGTAGTATACTAGAAACCACATACGCTCACATAATTACTTTCCTCCCTCTCAGGGTCAAGAGCGGGAAAACTACATGAGTAAGTAAAGCATTAATCACAGACTTTAAAAGATTTGGAATAGAACTCAGCTATGCGTTTACATACAATGAGAAAAAAAAATCACTCCTGTAGAATAAACATGCTATGTCTGAATTAAAAATTTTGAATAAGGCCACACATACTTTTCTTCACTTACCTACTGAAATAGCCAGGTCAACATTGGTGGAAAACCTACTTAAATACTTTAATACAATCTCCAAACACCCTTCTTTGTTGAATATAGATACTGCTCTACTACTGCATTCACTAAATTGAAGGGGGGAAAAAAAAGTTTTACTATTCACATTTTAACATTATCAACCACAGAAATTCATGAAAAAATAATTAGGCTTTGTAAAAGAACCAAAGAGTTGTAGTCAAACACCCACCATTTTTATAGATGAAGAAACCAATGCCCATTCATAGTCACTGTGCAGGAACACAACTGGCTATCTGTATTTTTATTTCCATCACAGTAGGATCTTTTAGCCAATCTCTTTACCCGCATGCCAATTTCCTTACAGGAGGTTAAAGATGGAAGAGAGCTTAGAAATCATTTACTTCAATTCCTCATTTTGTGGGTAAGGAAACTCAGACCCCAAGAGGTGAAGTGATCTGTCCAAAGATCACACACTTTGTTACTGGTCTTTGGGTCCAGCTCAACTTGTCTTTCCACTGTATCACAGTAATAATAAATTAAAGTAAGGATAAAAGGCCTCTATACTTATCACACAAAAAGTACAAATTTAAAAGAAAGTAAAATTAAAATTTTATTCATTCCATCTAGACTGTTATAATTTTAACAGAATTTGTAGATTGCAACAGAGAAATTGTTATAATATTTTTGAAATTACACTACTTTTTAATAAAAGAATCAGAATTAATGTTATCAGTGTTATTAATTAACATATATGCTAAATATAGGGTAAACAGAGCTAATTATAATAATTTTTTTCCTGGTTCCAGAGAAGAATATTCCTCCAGATATACCATATATACACATGACAGACTAACAGCTAACAGAGCTGACTAAATGATTAAATTCAATCCTGCTGTCTAAAGATAAACTATTTTCTGTTTGTGTATCCATCTATCCATCCATCCATCCATCCATCCATCTAGTTACTGCAACACTGCTATGAACCTCCCCTCAAGAAGCCCATAGTAAAGTAAGGTATAGTCAGGAAAATAAAGCATAAATGTGTTAAGATAATGGGCACTCAGGAAAGAGAGATCACTGTGAAGACCACTTTTTCAGGCACTTTTCAAAGAAAACTTTTTTAAAATTTCTGAGTTCAACAATTTATATATTAAAGTTATCTGAAAAACAGCACCCACTAGCTTGCTTGAATAAGGCATTTCCTCAAATCTGATCTCTCCAATTTTCCTGGTGGAATGCATCCACTAGTTTAAAATGAAATCATGGGGGGGACGGATAAACTGGAGGATTGGGATTGACATATACACACCACTATATATAAAATAGATAACTAATAAGGACCTAGGGTAGAGCACAAGGAACTCTACTCAATAACTCTACAATAGCCTATATGGGAAAAGAATCTAAAAAAGAGTGGATATACGTATATGTGTAACAGATTCACTTTGCTGTACACCTGAAACTAACACAACATTGTAAATCAACTATACCCCAATAAAAATTAAAAAATAAAAACTAAAAAAAAAAGAGAGAAATCATAGGCAAGTTTGGATTGCTGTGTAAGCAGCTTTCCAGGATCCAACTTAACCTTGTATTCTATGAAGTACCTGTGCTTTAGGTCAGAAATAATCATCACTGCTGACTGAAAATAAGGAAATGACAGATTCTTGCTAGAATCTGGCTAGAAATGTGAGACAATAAAATGGCATAGAAAAAAAGGCAGGTTGTGTTTCCAGCCATCTCCATTCCTAAAAGCAAGTCCACCCACCCCCACCCCTACTCCCACCCTCCCCCGCCCCCAGCCATTGTTACAATGATGGAATGGAGCGTGGCCTTCTTCCTACTGGGACCAAAGGAGCTCTTCTCAGGCATCTACTTCTCTGTCAAATGGCACCTGCCACGGCAGAGGAGTAGAGCACCCACTGAGGTCTGTGGTCCCTGTCTCATTCCAGATGCCAGGCCAAAGCATCTACTGCACTGGAGGCTGGCTGGCTTGAAGACAACTGCTCCTTAAGGTACATGGGTAGTGGGGGAGGAAGGAGGTGCAGTGGGTACTAATGACCATGATTCCTCTTATTTTTGTCAGCAGCAATGACTGGAGAGAAGAGCTGTAAAGCAAAAAAGGATGTAGTGATGCTACGAGGAAAACGGCTTGGGAAGGACAGTTGATCTTAGGTCACTTGATGAGACCTCCGACCAAGCACTAACATCACAGATTTACACGCCTACCAAAGAGAACAGAGATTCCTCTGCAGTTTAACAGAGGGAGCAGCAGCCTGAGTAGCACTGAAGCAGGAGGCTGCGTCTGGAAAGCATCTTACCATATATTCCACAGCACGTTTACGGCCTCATTGGCTATGTTTTCAATAGAATTTCTGTTCTGATCTTTTTTTTCCTGTGGAGACATCTCATTTGAATCCAGTCCAGTACTACACTGAAATCAAATACCGTGATTAGTACCTTTGTTCAAAAGAATAATTAAACAGAAAGACAGTGAAGGATCACAAAAAGTAAACATCAAAAATGATAGTGGTTGCCTATATGGGAAAAGAATCTAAAGAAAAAATAAGAGTGGAGATATGTATATGTACAACTGATTCACTTTGCTATACGCCTGAAATAAACACAACATTGTAAATCAACTATACTCCAATAAAATTTTTTTAAAAATGATAGTGGTTAACAAGCCCATCAAATTCTCAAACAGTACAGTTCCTGTAACCCTGCGCCCTTCTGGCAAGAAATACAGACAAGAAAGGTTCACAAGTCACTGTACAAACTGGATAAAAAGCATTTCACATTTTAAGTGAAAATGTAAAATCAATACAAAATATTTTATCTAATGTGGTAAAGATAGTATATAAGGCAAAGAAAAGTAACACATAATAAGAGCTAACATCTGTACAGTACCTTCTTTGCGCAAGGCTCTATTCTAAGCACTTCATGTCTGTTAAGTCATTTAATCCTCACCACAAACCTATGAAGGAGATGAACTCTTATCCCTAATCTCCTGCTACAAATAGGAAACAGGTACAGAGAGCTTGCTGAAGGTGTAGCTTAGTATCTAGCGAAGTGGGATTCAGATCCAGGCATCCTGGCTCCGAACTGGGTGCTCTGAACCACTCTGCAGTTCTGCCCCTCCTAAAATCCACGGCACTCTCTAAAGCAAGCTTCTTAATCTCGGCACTACTGACATTCGGATGGGATGATTCTTTGCTGCGGTGCACGTGGCTGTCATGCGCAATGTAGGATGTTCAGCAGCATCCTTGGCCTCTACCCACTAGATGCCAGTAGCAACCCCTACTCCAAAGCCATGACAATCAAAACTGGCTCCAGACATTGCTAAATGTCCCCTGCAGGGCACATCATCCCTAGTACGATCACTGTTCTAAAGGGAACAAGACAGACACCTCTCATCAAAACTGGATATCCTTTATATGGCCTCAAGTGAAAATTACCCATCAATACAGAAGAGTGGACCAGAGGCAAGGCGGAGGAAGAGCTCCTTAATCCCTGAACTACATCATGCAATAAAGGTGGCATGATATTAAATCTGAGAACATAATCTAGTCTTCTCGGCAAATTCCTAATGTCTGCGCTTCAGCTTCCTCATCTGTAAAACAGGAATAACAATACCTGTCAAATAGGACTGCTCCGAAGATTAAGTGAAATAATACACAAGACAGCACCGAGCACATAAATAAGCAACCAATAAATACAAATTATTTTCATCGTATGAAGTTTAAAGTCTAAAGGAGTCAGTCTATAGTTTTAGGAAGGTCTTTTCTAACAAACAGATAAATAAAGGTAGTGGGGACAAACTAGAGACTAGTATCTGTGATGAGATCAGTGTTTCCAGGAAAGAAATACAATTCCTACAGAATGTTTTGAGGGAAGACAAAATAACTAACACCAAAGTACTTAAAAAGCAAAACAGGGACTTCCTTGGTAGCACAGTGGTTAAGAATCCACTTGCCAATGCAGGGGACATGGGTTCAATCCCTGGTCCGGGAAGATCCCACATGCCGTGGAGCAACTAAGTCCATGCGCCACAGCTACTGAGCCTGCACTCTAGAGCCCACGAGCCACAACTACTGAGCCTGCACTCTAGAGCCCACGAGCCACAACTACTGAGCCCTCGCACCTAGAGCCCGTGCTCCGCAACAAGAGAAGCCACTGCAATGAGAAGCCCAGGCACCGCTACGAAGAGTAGCCCCGGCTCACCGCAACTAGAGAAAGCCCGCGCGCAGCAACAAAGACCCAACGCAGCCAAAAATAAATAAATAAACTTATTAAAAAAAAAAAAAAAAAAGGCAAAACAAAACCCCAAACCGTCTGAGTGTGTATTACTAACAGCGACCTGGGAAAGTGGCATACCTCTTTCAGCAGTGCGACCAGCGGAGTCATGATATCCTTGGTCACCATGTCATCACAAACTTCGAAACCGCCACAAGCACTGAGATTTCTACACAAGAAGTTTAAAACAGGTTTTACTTTCAGACCACATGTCACAAAACATATTAAGCGCTCAAGTTTATTTCTATTTCTACCCATACTTAAGGTTTCCCGGAAGAAATCGCTTATGATTCCTGTAAGATGTTGCACAGCCAATCCACAGATCTCCACCTATGCTGATCCTTGCTCTACATGAAGTAAACAGATGTCTCTGTCTTGTAACAGCTTAGTTTTCAGGACTGAGACGATACACAGGGAGAGGGAAGACTTCTCTTATTTAATGTGAATCAGTCATGGCCTGATCTTTTTTTTTTTGGCCACACAGCCTGGCTTGTGAGATTTTAGTTCCCCGACCAGGGATTGAACCAGCACCCTCCGCAGAGAGAGCACGGAGTCCTAACCACTGGACTGCCAGGGAAGTCCCCTGCCTGATCTTATATGAAGGGAACTTTTCTTGGAATCAGGACTTCCAGGGTAGGAAGGGTGAGGCTATTGAGAAAGACATCTCCTTGAAGCAATCCTAGCTAAGTTTAGTTTTGATTGGAAAGACAGTGCTTGCCCTCTGAGTGCACAGCACTGTGCTAGGCACTCAGGATATGAAGCCTCACCATCTTCCAGGAGCTCTCAGTGTGTGTATGCTTTGGGGGGAGGGTAGGGCTTTCCACACACTGTTTCCTCCATCAAGTGGTTAATCCCCACTCATCCCCCAGATCTCACCTCAAACATCACGCCCTTAGGGTTTTCTTCCCTGAACCCCCAGGTATACCTTCTCACAGCATCTTCTGTAAATATCATTGGCTGTAATTACACACTTGTGTGATTAATTGCATAATGCCTGCCTCCCTCAATACTGTAAGATCCATTAAGGACAGAAATTATGTGTCTTGTTCACTGCCACATGCCCACGACCTAGCCCACTGCCTGGTGCACAGCAGGCACTCAATATATACTTGCTAAATCGATGAATGAAACAGAATAAATAAAGACAGAGCTATGAAAACTACGAATATTAACTTTACTCTTGCCCCCCCTACAGTCCATTCTCTGCACAGCTACCAGAGTGGCCTTTTGAAAAGGTAAATTAGACCAGTCACTCCTGCTTAGAATAGGTCCTTTAGCTCTACACCACCGGATCCTTATCCATCTCTCCAGCCTCAACTCTTACAATGCCCGCCCTCCACTCTATTCGGCCACATAACCTTCCCATTCTTTAACCATGCCAAGCCCTCTGCTGTTGCTGTTCCCTCTGTCAGGAATGCTCTTTCCCTTCTTTGTCCACGCCTGGCTCTAGCCTCCAGAGCCAGGAGGCTAGAGTTCACAAATGTCATCTAAAGATCACCCGATTTAAAGTAACTTCCCACCCCCAACTCATCATCCTCTTGGTTTCTCCACAGCACCACTTACGATCTAATGTTATGTTTCACCTGTTTACTGGTTTCCTGTCTGTCTCCGCATCAACACGGGTTCTGTGAAGGCAGGGATCTTGGCTGTCTTGCTCAATGTCCTGCCTGCTCAAAATCTACCGCACCTAGAACACCTGGCATTTATACTGGAAGAGTTCACTGAACCTCAGGACTCCATGGAGGCTCCCTGGAGAGGGTACAACGTGCGCTAGGCCTTGAGGAGAGGACGTTTGACAGGTGGCTACTGCAGGTGAAGCAGCAATGCGTGTAGTCCGGGGCTCATGGGGTCCTCCGGAGTCTGAAGCCTGAGTTCAAATGCTCCCCTCTGCAAACAGGAGAGACTCTGCAGTTCCTGGCCCTCCCGAGCTGCCGCAGACAAGTGCACTGAGGATGAAGCCGATTAGCTACGGTGCGTGGCACACAGGAGGCGCCAGCTGGACGCCGTGGGCCCGGATCCGAGGCACCACCCCGGACCCCATTCCCTGCTCACCTCAGTGCGCCAGCCGCCGTCTCCCTCACCGCCAGGCTGGGGTCGAGCAGCAGCGGCCCGAGGCGTCGCACGGCGTCCCGCCGAGCCAGGCCCGGCAGCGCCGGCCGCTGCTGCACCAGCCGGGCCAGCCCCGCGCAGGCGCACTCGCGGACCTCGGCGCTCGGGTGCTGGAGCTGCGGGAAAGAACAAGTGTCAGAGAGCAGAGCGCACGCGCGGGGACGCGGCGGCAGGGGCGTGTGGCGTTGCTGGGGGGCTCCGGGCGAGGCCTGCCCCCCGCCCCTCCCCGCGCGGCCCGGCGAGCCCTCGCCTCACTTTTTCTAGCAGCTCCGCCGCTGGCCCGTCGTCCTCCTCTGGCTCAGTCCCGTTCGCCGCCGCCGCCTCGGCCTGACAGTCGCCCGTAGGGGAGAACTGAGGTCGCTTAAAGCGTTTCGTCCGGCTCTTGCCCATTGTGAATTGCGCTGGCGGGAAGACCGAGAGAGGAGGGCAACAGCAAGACGGTGGAGTCTGCTCAGCTGGCAGCAAGGTCTTGCAGTCTAGGGGTCTATGCACTACTGCTCAGCTGGGCCCGATGACGGCCCGAGCCCACATGGGGAAGCAGTGCGCGTGCGCGTGGCGTGTCGGCGGCAGAGCGGGGTGGTGGCCAGCGCGGGGAGAGCGCAGGCGTAGAGGGGAGGTTGGGCGGGCCCAGACCTTGCGGAGGGGCGTGTCTTATGGGTTTTCTCAGGAAGGGGAAGGCTGGATTTGAAAGGTAGAACCGACTCCGCCTCCCACCAGCTGGTGACATTTATCAAGTTACTGAACTTGCCAAACCTTTATTTCCATAATAATCAAATGCGATTAAGGATGCCTAACTTGCCAGGTTATTGTGAGGCTTAAAAAAATATTATGTAAAGCGCCTAACTCCAAGCCTGATGTATGTATGTAGTAGGTGCTCAAAAAATATTAACCACGATTTTATTTTGTGCCTAGCACAGCTCCTGTCACAGACAAAGTCCCTATTTGATGGACTCCCTAAGAAGTTACTAAACCTTCCTGCCTCAGTTTCCTCATCAATGAAATGGGGATACCAGTAATATATACGTAATGGAGTTGTTATAAGGATAAATGTGTTAATGTGTTTAATATGCTAAGAACAGAGACTGGCACATAATAAGCACCATATAAATGTATGGTTGAAACTTTCATTTAACAAATAACAAAAGGATTCTTTCACAAATATTTACTGAGTACCAGGTACAGTGCTGGGCATTGGGATAAAACAATAACCAAGACAGATATGGACCCTGTCATTTGTCTTTGTCCTTATGGAGTTTACAGTTTAGTGAGAGATGTGTTAAATATATAATTATGTAAGTATTTAATTACAGTTGTGGTAAGTACTCAGAAAGAAGAAAAAGTACAGGAGAATCTCCTGTAGTCTTTATAATTACATGCATTTATGGAGCACCCAATAGATATATAGCTTTCAGGTCACCAATGTATGGGAGAAAAGTTCCATCCCATGGCAACCCTACCCTCAAAGAGTTGACTGTCTAGTAAAGGAAATGACTAATTACTATAGCATATTTTGGAAAATAATCACAGAGGTGTAGCTGAAGTTGTACAGAAGCTGAGGCCCATCAAAGACCAACTTTAGGCACAAGGAAAACTTGGAGCCCCCAGATATATGTTGGTGGGTTTTACTTCCTAGATCTCTCTTTTCTGGCTACTGATCTCCTAACCTCCCTAGTCCAAGCTACTATCTTCTCTTGTCTTGACCACATGGGCTTCTGGTCTCTTTTTCTACCCTCACCATCCGTCGAGAAGCTGGAGTGATTTCTTTCAGAATGAATATCCCTCCAACTTTCTCATATGCACTCCTTTGCTTGAACCCTTTCAGTGGCTTCCATTTCTCTTAGGATGGGGATCAAAATCTTAGCCGGCTGCAGTGTCTCATCCTGGCCTGCAGCTTCATCTCACGTCACCTCCTGCATTCTGCCCTTAAGCCGCCCTCCAAAGGGCCTCTTCTGCCCCAGACCCCACTGCTGTCACGGTGAATGCAAGAGTCACATCTTCATAGGTGCCTCCTCTGATTTTCAAGTCTGAGATGGCACGTATCCTGTTCCTTTGCTTCAAAGCACAGTACAAAATTACGTTGTAACTTAAATTTGTGTATAGTTCTACACAATTCTTATACCCATACTCTGCCCAACTGCACACTAAACCTTGTAAGGATAAGACTGCCTGTTTTCACACATCACTGTCTTCCCAGCACTGGCCAAGACGTGGCACAAAATAAGCATGCCATTTCTTAAATGAATAGAGACCACATAATCAAGAAAGAGTAGGGCATGCAATCTAGACAGAATAGGGGGAGACAAAACAGATTCTTGCTATTTCTCTCACTGTGGGGATGAGCAAGAAAAAATAGTTCAAAACCTTAGTCGGGGGAGAACTATGGGATCTATTTTATTACTATTTCCTGTGAGAAATTATATTTCTGCTAAAAATGAATGATAAACTAATGAGCTTAAGAGCCCTTCCAGGACCCACCTAAGATCATCAGTCTTAGGGGAAGCCCAGTGACCTTTAACCATCTAATAATCCAGGTTAACCAGGCATTTTAAAAAATCCAGCCAAGCAATGATTGACATGATCAACGTCAATGATCCAGCCAACCATCCCCTTTTCCTACAAATTATCATTGTCAAGTGGGAATTTTTGAATTAGATTGCTTAGAAGCCTCTTTCCTTTTGAGACAATAAAAATGCTTGTAATCAATTATTTGCAGATAAATTTTGTTTTAAATAGGAACTAGCTGTTCTCTCAGACTCCTGTTTCTCCCCCTTCACACGTCTGTTGGGTAATCTTCCTAAAAACACACTCTGATCAATATTCGTTGAAAACCTTTGACAGTCCCCTGTAGGTGCATAACTGAACCAGGTAGAATCAGGCTCAGACTTTTACATGACATACCTGTGCAGCCACAGCACCCTGCCACATGCTTCCAACACCTCATCTCTTGCCTGGGAGCCTCCTCAGTCACCCCAGAAACTCCCTCGGACTTTCCTTTACCCAGGCCTGGGGGCTGTATAGTTCAGCAAGCTTCCCCAGTACACCCTGGCATTAATCATTTCCATTTTCCTGATACACAGTCTTAGATCTACTTCCAGTTCCTCTGAGTGTTACAGACTCATTGTGGGATAGGAGATGTAAACCAAAAAGATGGCTGTCCTGTGGGGCCTGGCCTGTTGTCCTCCTGTCCCAGCAGATACTCTATCCTCAGCCCTCCATGTACCGTTTTGTACAGTGCAAATCTACACCAGGGGTTCTAAACAGGGGGGATGACTTTGCCCCTCAGAGGGCAAATGTCTCCCGGGCAGCAATATTGCCCTAGGTTGAGAATCAGAGAAATGTACTTTTGTTGAGTGACTATTTGCTTATTGGCCTAGATTCTATGAAGTTAGATATAATTTATAGATTGATAAATTACAAATGATTTTGTCCTATTGAGATGCAAATTATTTCTGTCTAGTAGAAAATATAACCTCAAAGAATACAATTTCATTGCCTTGTAGGACATAACCAATTTCATACCTAACCTAGCAATCTTCTTTTTTTTTTTGAGGTATCGTTGATGTACATTATGTAAGTTTCAGGTGTACAACATAGTGATTCACAATTTTTAAAGGTTATATTCCATTAGTTATAAAATATTTATATAAAATATATAAATATAAAATATATTTATAAATATATTTATAAAAATAAATATAAAATATATCCCCTGTGTTGTATAATATATCCTTGTAGTTTATTTATTTTATACATAGTAGTTTGTACTGTTTGGTGTTATTTTTTTGGCTGCGCCACGTGGTTTGCGGCTTGCGGGATCTTCGTTCCCCAACCAGGGATCTAACCCATGCCCCTTGCAGTGGAAGCAAAGGAGTCTTAACTGCTGGACCGCCAGGGAAGTCCCTAGTAGTTTGTACTTCTTAATCCCCTCCCCCCCTTCCCTCTCCCCACTGGTAACTACTAGTTTGTTCTCTGTATCTGTGAATCTATTTCTTCTTTGTTATATTCACTATTTTATTTTTTAGATTCCACATATACGTGATACCATACAGTATTTGTCTTTCTCTGTCCGACTTATTTCATTTAGCATAATACTATCCTCCAAGTCCATCCATGTTGCAAATGGCAAAATTTCATTCTTTTTTTATAACTGAGTAGTATTCCACCGTATATATATACCACATCTTCTTTATCCATACATCTGTTGATGGACATTTAGGTTGCTTCTGTATCTTGGCAATTGTAAATAATGCTGCTATGAACATTGGGGTGCATGTATCTTTTCCAGCTAGCGCGCTTGCACTCTCTCTCTCTCTATATATATATACATATACACACAGGAGTGGAATTGCTGGGTCATATGGTAGTTCTATTCTTAGTTTTTTGAGAAACCTCCATACTGTTTTTCACAGTGGCTGCACCAATTTACATTCCCACCAACAGTGTGCAAGGGTTCCCTTTTCTCCACATCCTCGCCAACATTAGTTATTTGTGTTCTTTTTGATGACAGCCCATTCTGACAGGTGTGAGGGGATATCTCACTGTGGTCTTAATTTGCATTTCTCTGATGATTAATGACGTTGAGCATATTTTCAGGTGACTGTTGGCCATCTGTATGTCTCCTTTGGAAAAATGTCTATTCAATTCTTCTGCTCAGTTTTTAATTGGGTTGTTTTTTTGATGTTGAATTGTTTATATATTTTGGATAGTAACCCCTTATCAGTCATATCATTTGCAAATATTTTCTCCCATTCAGTGGGTTGTATTTTCATTTGTCGATGGTTTAGTTTACTGTGCAAAAGCTTTTAGGTTCAATTAGGTCCCATTTGTTTATGTTTGCTTTTATTTCCTTCAGTTTAGGAGACAGATCCAAAAAAATATTGCTGCAATTTATGTCAAAGAGTTCTGCCTATGAACACAACGTTGTAAAGCAACTATACTCCAATAAAAATTCATTTAAAAATAAATAAAAGATAAAAAAAAAGAAAGAGTGCTGCCAATCTTTTCTTCTTTCTAGGAATTTTATGGTTTCCTAGCAGTCTTGTTTAAGTATATTATTCCTCACTAAGTAAATTTCTGTTCCTCCTTTATACCAATTTTACCACCTTCCTGTTTCCTTCATTAAGGAACTGACAGATGCTCACTATACGTTTATTTGATGAATGAAAATTTAAACTTGTTGAAAATCATCCTTTGACAGTGTTTATTCATAAGGCAAGAAAGGTGTTCACCAGGTACTATGAAGCAAAAAGGCAGGTTACAAAGCAGCATATATAGTATAATCCCATTTTTGGAAAAACACACACAGAGGGAATACCTATGAAAGTATATATACCAAAGTGTCACCTGTGTTTAACTATAGGGGGAGTTAAGGGAGATCATTTAAATATCTTATTTTTCCACTAGTTTATTTTGGGGGTTTTCTAGAATGAGCAGGTAGTATTGGCATCATTTTTTATTTATGTATTTATTTATTTTAGGCTGCGTTGGGTCTTCATTGCTGTGCGCGGGCTTTCTCTAGTTGCGGCGAGCCTGGGCTACTCTTCGTTGCGGTGAGTATTTAGGGCAATACAGATTGCCCTAAATCCCATCTAACTCACTTAACCTTTGGAAAGCAACAAACCTTAAATGGTTTTGATCCAAACAGAGTGATGGGAGAACACTTTAAGAGCGTCCTATTTACCCAAAAGTCAACAGAGTCAGTTCTAACTCCTTGCCTAAACCAGTATTGTCAGTCTTTCTCATTTTAGCCTTTTTAGTGGGGGCATAGCTCCTGGAACCTTCAAACATTGCTGGTGGGAACGTAAAATGGGGCAACCTCTTCAGAAAACAGTTGAGTGGTTTCTTATAAAGTCACGTATACTCAGCCCATAATCCAGCAATCCCACTCCAGGTATTCCCAAGAAAAATGAATATATCCACACTGAACTGTACATGAATATTCACAGAAGGTCTATTAATAACAGCCCCAAACCGGAAACAAGCCAAATACCCATCAACAGGTAAATGGAGAAACAAAAAAAAGCAATGGAAAGGGATGAATTACAGATACATATATTAACATAGACAAAAAGTCTCAAAAATATGTTTAGCAAAAAAACCAGACTAAAGAGTGCTGTATGATTATACTATGATTTCATTTATGTGAAGCTCTAGAAACCACAAATCTAAAGAGCCGAGCAGGAGTTGCCCAGAGCCAGGGGTAGGGGATGGAACTGAGTGGGAAATGGGGGGATGGAACCCTTTGGGGCGACTGAAATGTTCTGTGTCTTGCTTGTAGTGATTGTTACAGGGGTGCTACATTTATCAAAATCCATCAAACTGTACAGTTAAAAACCGTTTTTTATAATAATTAGAGTTGTTTTATGTAAATTAACCTCAATAAAGTTGATTTTTTTAAAAGCCTTTAGAACCTATCCCTGTTTTGATCAGTTCCCCCATATTCATTGGTAATAATAATGGGTTCCATTCCGTATTTGGAGAGTGAGGGTCCCACTGACAGTATTTGAGCCATCATTATGTGCCAGACACTGCTCTAAGAGTTTTGCACGTATTAAGCTATATAAACCGTCAACAATCCCATGTGACGTTAGCATCCCTATGTTAGAGATGAGAGAACTGAAGCACAGAGAAGTTAAGCTACTTGCCTAAGAGCACATGATTTGCAAATGACAAATATGGGACTGACCCTACACAGTCAGACTTCAGTTATAATAAATGCAATACACTGTCTCCTAATGAATTTGTTGGTATTTACTGAAGAGCTAGCAAACTGAGGAAACCAAAGTTTTAATGGGTAACACCAGATAAAGGGAGGAACGTAGAAAATGACTAAGTATAAGAGCAGAGCAAGGGCTCCCAAATTGGGTAAAATGCTCTCTATACCTGTTTCTCCACTCATAAAATGAACTACTCCAGCTAGCAAACTCATATTCATTTTGCTACCTCACTGAAAAGAAGTATTTATACATACACACAATTTGAAAATCGTAAAAGAATGGCAGTCCCTTGCTTTACTTCTTCCCAACCCCAAGCCCATTCTAGGAAGTAGACATTCTCAACTATTCTACCTGTTTCTCCTATTATTATCTCCATACTCCCAAATGATAAGCTATTACTTTTTCTTATTTGTCAGTATTATATACTATTTCTTACCTTCTTGCCCTGGTAGGTAAGGACTTAGCTCTCCTGTACCCTCTCCCCCATTTCTCCTTCATCCAACAAAACTGTACCACAATTCTTGATTAAATCAGCGATCACTATCCAAATTACTAGGACAATGCAAATACTGCTCACTGCTAAACTTCTAAGAAGTCCACTAAAGCCAGTCTCTTGCTTATACAACCTTCATTTTTCTTGGAGTTAATAATTGCCTTTTTTTCATTATCCTGGCTTTCCATCAATCTGCCATTATTTTTTTCCAAATGTCTAACATCTTTGTCAACAGTATTTGCCATATGTTCAAATATATCCATTCCGGTTTCTTCCTGTGATCTCCTTCCTTTCCTCCTGCCCTTATCTGGACTGGGAATTCTCTAAGGATGCTGCACAGCAGTCAAACTGGACTTTCATTGTGACTTGAGTATTGGGTTCCCCATTTCCTTTGAAGTTGTTAATACATGAAGAGAGAGCAATGGTGTTCACTGTGATAATGTTGTTTACTGTGGAAGCTCTTAACTGGAGTCATTTTATTTATTGAAAAAGTATTCTATGTGCATGAGTTCACAAATGTAATCAGATATAATTTCAGAAACCCAGGCCCGGACCCTAGTTTGTTTTTTTTTCCAAACTGTTGCTATTTAAATTTACTTTATCTGATTCTTGATTCAGACAAACCAACTCTAAAAGAGACACTTATGAGGAAACTGGGGAAGTATGAGCTGAATATTTGATGGTATGAAATTATTGTTATAGGGGCTTCCCTGGTGGCGCAATGGTTAAGAATCCACCTGCCAATGCAGGGGACACAGGTTCAAGTCCTGGTCCAGAAAGATCCCACATGCCGCGGAGCAACTAAGCCCATGCGCCACAACTACTGAGCCTGTGCTCTAGAGCCCTCGAGCCACAACTACTGAGCCCACGTGCTACAACTACTGAAGCTCGCGTGCCTAGAGCCCGTGCTCTGCAACGAGAAGCCACCGCAATGAGTAGCCGGCGCAGTGCAACGAAGAGTAGCTCCCACTCGCCGCAACTAGAGAAAACCCGCGCGTGGCAGCGAAGACCCAAAGCAGCCAAAAACAAATAAATTTTTTTAAAAAACAGCAACTTCTAGCAAGGATATACAGTATTTCTCTTTTGATTTACTTAATGAAGTTATAATAGACTTAGCTATTTTAGTTTCCCTACTGTTATTTACCTTACAAATCTTAGCATTTAGCCTTCTATCTTAAGAACCTCCCCATAAAACTAGGTACATTACGTAAGAAAACTTATGACTTGGTGTAATTATGTACAAAATTTAAATACCAAAGTTAAGGTTCATTCACTCATTCAACCAACAGTAACTGAGCATCTTCCAAATGCCAGGTGCTCTAGGGTACTAAAGATACACAGATGACAAGGACTCGGAATATAGGGACTTTAAGAATAAGTCACCTGCCTAAGTGGTTAATGGAGGAACCAGGACTATGACCCAAGTCAATCTGCCAGGCTGGACTCCTCCACTACACATGGCCCAGAGACCCCTTACCTGGCAGATGACATCACGCTTGGTTTGAAGCAGCTCCCTAGTCCCTTACAGGGACGGGTCAAGTCTCCTCAAAGCATGCTCTTTGGAACATTTCTTCTGTGTAATATTCTGTAAGTCAGGGTCTTATTGGCAAGAAAGAGAAGCTGACTTTGGCTGATTAAACAGAAGACAGACTATCGAAAGGGTTGGGTACCTCACAGGACTTTGGGGAGGTCTGGCTAAACTTTTAGAAAAGAATGCCCAGACCCATGCCATCAAGCTGGCCCGATGAGGACACCGGTGCCACTACCACTGAGCACTACTAAGTACTCTGCAACAGAAACTTATCTTTATGGCCTCACCCTCGTCCCAGATGCAAAGGAAGGGAGTTTTCTGGGTTGTCTTCGGAGACTGGACTCATTCAGCTGGCATTCCCCACACCTAGCAAGGGCATTCAAAACAACCTTGGTAGACAAATATCATGACAAATACCCAAATATCCACAGTGTACGTTAACAGGCATTTCACAAAACGTCAGGGAAACAGGTTTCTCTACTGCAGGACCACTTGGAGCTTTTAATATGCTTTGGAGCATAGGGACTCTCTAAGAAGATAAAATAGTTCCCAATCATTGGTGATCATCGAAACTTTATTTCTGGTACAGGTAACAGGATGGAAAAAGTGGTAGACTTGATGCTCAACTGCTCCCTCTCCTGGCCTCCCACAAAGTCCCACTCATTTGACTAATGAAAGCTCTTACTTCTCTGGTTCGGGAGCCCTCATCTCTCACCTGGACTATATAGCAGCAGTTCCTAACTGCCCTCCAGGGCATGGCCCTTCAGTCCACACAGTAGCAGTCATGACCATAAAATGCAAATCCAGTTAAGTCACTTCCCTACCAAAACAGTTTGGTGGCTTGCCACTACCCTCACAAGACTCCCAACCCCAGATGCCTACTTACTTCCAGCCTCAGCTCTTGCCACAATTCCTCTCCAACTCCTCACCACCAGGCAAGTTCAAGAACTGCCTCTGCCCCACCCCTACCCCCCACGACTGACCCTTCAGATCAGAAGGAAATAACCTCTGTCAAGTTGTGTCTGGGCTGGCCCACTTCCTCTGGGCTCCTATAGCGTCCCACACTTTTACCCCTCATAGCACTTAAACCACATGGTAACTGCTCAATCACTGGTCTGTATTCCCCCCAGGCAACAAGTTCTGAGAGTGCAAAAATTCTTCCTCACACAAATACCCAACAAAGCACTTGCCACTTAAAGGGCAGTGTACAAAGGTGATGAAAGAGCACACCTAAAACTTTCAGGTAATGGATATCCTTTTACTTTCTTGTCTCTCACACAAACAGACTTGCACGGCACACAATCATTCACTAAAAACATCAATTTAAAAATGTTTTGCGTTCTCTGATGCAGGCAAGGTGCACCTATTTTTAGTGGAAAAAGATAGAAATTATACTTACCTAATGTAAAGCATACAGAAAGTGGAGTCTGGAAACAGAATGAGACTCAAGTTTCTTTGGTTTCAACAGGAGAGGAAATGATAGAGCCACTTTAGTTGCTGATGAAGGCAGAGCATCTGTCAGCCAGAAGGATGTAGAGACTCAAGTCTCTACAAAATGCCCATCAAGAGTCCAGTTCTAAAGGAGAAAAGAGCCACTCAAAAAGCAGCACTATCAGGCAGTCACAGCCTTTATGTTTTCAGTGAAGTTGCTTGAGAAAACACCTAGAACCATTTTAGGTTTCTTAAATCATTAGAGGCCAAAGAGCCTTTCTCTTTGTATTTAATCCAGTATTCAGGAGTTTGCCTGATTCAAAAGATAAGCACAACTTCCTCCTGGCTATCTCAACTGAGATGTTGATATTACGTAAAGTTGTAACAATGAGGTTTTTTGTTTTGTTCCTTTTTTTACTTTTAGTGTTTGGTTTAACAACTAGATTTACTGAGCACTGACTCTGTAGCCAAGCACTGTTTAAGTGCTCTCCATGAATTAACAATTTAATACTCAGTATAAGATGACTGGCGATATACCTATATCCTATACATTATCTTCCTCTACCGAGGAGATTGGCATTATACCCATTTTATAAATGAAAAAACTAACGTTACTAATTTGCCTAAGGTTACAGAACTAGCAAGTAGTAGATCTGAGATTAAAATCCAGTTTGGCATAAGCGTCTACATTCTTAACCATACCATTATAATGGCTCATGACTTAAGTTCAACACACACACATAAACATCCTTTCAATCAGTCAAGAGACTTGGTGTTAGTTGTCTTCAGTAAGTCACGGGGACGTAAAGTCACTTTGAAAATCTAAGACTGTCTTCCCCACCTGTGAAGTTAGAGGACTAGACTCAACAGTAATTTCCTAACAGTGTGGAAGAGCGTATGAGAGAGTGAGGGCGCTGGTGATGAGAGGCTAACCTAGCAAGGATCCTTGGGCCATTTCAACCAGAGCAAAGGCTTTTTTGGAAAATGAACTGTTCTGTTAGAAGTAAAGGTATGAAAAATCTTTGGAACTGTAACAAAAGTTTCTTTCTTGGAGCCAATGGATTCCAAGTAGCCTGGCATCAGGAAATCCTTGAAAACCTCTCCAAGTACATGCACCGTATATGTACATACAAAGACATATTTTTCTAGGGGAAAAGATTCAAGGATTTTGTTAAATACAAAAAGTAGCTGATGATTCCAAAAAGGATTTAGGACACATAAAATCCCTCTTCAGCTTTATACTCTTGGAGGAAACTAGTGATCCAGGTTTGTAGAGCTTAATTTTTGAGAAATCCTGCATTTCCTAATTAAACATCACATATTATCAGACCACGATGAATAAGAAATATTAAAAGGGGACTTCCCTGGTGGTCCAGCGGTTGGGACTCCACACTCCCAATGCGGGGGGGGGGGGGGCCCAGGTTCGATCCCTGGTCAGGGAACTAGATTCTGCATGCTGCAACTAAAAGATCCCACATGCCACAACTAAGACCCGGCGCAGTGAAATAAATAAATAAATATTTTTAAAAATTTAAAGTATTCACAGCCTAATAAACTGGGTACCTTCAATTGCTACTTGAAATTTGCTCTACTGGACACACAGTTAAAGTATCTCATTTTACTCAGCCTGTATCTGACTCATTTTATGTTAGCCTGTACCTGACACACTCAGTATGTTTAAAATTATTTTCAGTTACAGACTTAAAATAAACCAAGGAAAAAGCCCAATCACTAAATATATATAAAGTATTTATTTTTATGCACATATTTACCTACAAAATTTACAGGAAATAAAACAATGCAGAATATATGGAATACCCTCTTAAAACTTCGTAGGAGCAGAGGGGTTTATTGCTGCAGTTCAAAGAATGAAATTTTATACACGTGAAAGCCAAGATGAACACATTTAAGATAACGGCAGCCTTGTTAAAAAGGTTTTTTGTCCTGTTTTTGAATTTTCAGCCTTATGTTAAATGAAATTTAAAAGACTGCTCGTGAAATAATTTAAACCTTTCAAAATCTTCTAATAAACAGGTAAAAGGCACCTCTAGTTCTTTAAAATATTTACAGCAATCCCAACAGTTTAATTTTAAGGGCTGTTATAGTATATGTGGCTAATATGCATACACAGTATGTCATTAACACTCTCTAAACAGTGAGAATTGTAGACTCTAGTTTGTGGCACTGCTCCCAAGTTATCCCTGTGATGGTGTGGCTGATCAATCACACCTGCACGATACTAGTGTAACAGCATGTCTACCACAGCATAAAATCCCATTATCTAAAACAATGACTATCAAATTCCCCAGACAATACATAATTTATAACTAAACTTGTCTATTCAGAAGCCTTTGGAGTGTTCTTAAAATCATTAAAAAAATATAAAGTATATTTAGCATTAAATGAAAACAATGAACTGGAAAATATCACAATAGTGGCTGAAGTTCACTATCTAGTTTTAACAAAAACTGTTTCTCAAAACACCTATAATTTCTTAAAACATAATGGAGATGAATTTTCCTTAGTCTAAGCTCAATCCAATGTTTTTCCTGCATTATGATTAAAAGAGAGGAGTGTAAGAGTGAAAGGCACAGCTATACGTAATAGCCGGTTTTAAAGAGCTGTGGAGATGGCAAGCAGATATTCCTGAAATACTGGTGCAGGAGAACAAAGTCCACATAACGTTTCCTTTTTAACACTGGCATAGATTTGCTATTTACAGTAGTTTACAAAAATACATTATAAAAACTGGATGAGGTTCTGTTTCTAAGTTTAACTTAGTAACATACATACATACTTCATCTGCAAAAATCTTTGCAGGATCTGAAGTACTAAAGTGACACTAATACTGAAACACAAATAATCAAAGGTACCAAAGCACTGATTACGCGAGTCACCACCATGAAGATAATCTGGGTAAATATTGCACATTTCTTGTCAGTTGTTGCTATGACGTTCACATATCCAACTGTAAAAGCAATCCTTTATGGCTTTTTGCTGTATCACTTTTTGAAGAAAGGTTGTTTTAAGTCCCATAACAATGAGTGCAGATTGTCATTGAACATGAGGCCTAGGTTTCAAAATTAGTTTTCCTGTCTGTAAAAATGAAAAAAAAAAAAAAAGTTTAAAAGTATACAGTTCTATTAAGAACACCACCACTTACCTAGAAACCTTAAAGGGCATTAGAACACCCCCCTATATTTAGTCAAGATTAAGCAATTAATAATCATGTTTTCAGTGTTCTTTGTGTGGAACTTTCTTCTAAAATCTTTAGTACTTTAAAACATACACATAAAATCTTTTTTTGATGAATTCCCTATCCACTGGCTACCAGAAAATCAGCCAACCAACCCAGTGGATAAAATAAAATCCCAACTTATATAGACTAATTTATGCCCCTTACCATAAAACATAAATAAAACTATGTATTTGAACAAAAATTTTTCCCTTTTTCTAACATTAAAATTTTAACTTCCTCAAGTTAAAATGTAAACCAATGGCTGGAGCAATAGACACTCATACACTGCTGGTATTCAGTGTATGTGGATACAACTCTTCTATAGGGCTGTCATATTTATCAAAACAAAACAAAAAAAGCATATACCATATAATCCAAACAATTCCACTTCTAGGAATTTATCTGAAGGAAACTAGGTGCAAGGGTAAAGATGTACATTTAAGTGCTATTAATTCAGTATTTACTGAGTGCCCATTAATGTGCCAGACGTGTGAGATGCTAGGGACCCGGTAATGAACTAGCTAGACGAAGTTCCTTGTCTTTACGGAGCTTAAGTTCTAGTGAAAAATACACAACATATATAACATGCAAAATGTGGACGTAGGGGATTAAATTATGATGTGTCCATAAAGTGGGACAGTATGTAATTAAACAAAATGGAAGATCTTGAGATCATGCAGATAAAAAAACAGGCCTGGGACCTTTCACAGTTAACCTTCAGTATACGGTGGCTCTTAAGTCCTAATGTTGGGTCAAAGAAGCAGGTTTGAAAAATTCGTAACATCTTTTTATTTTTTTTAACGGTTCTTTATGAACTTGATTATAACATTTTGCTTTTATAAGAGTAAATGAGAATACACAATAAAATATAAAACATGGTGATTATCTTTGGTTGGTAAAATTCTAGGTGGTTTTCAGAAACACACTTTATTGTCCTCAGGTCAAGTGCTGTCAGGATTCTGGCTCCCTCTCAATTCTCATTTTCACTTTTTCGGTAACTCCTTGATACCTTGGTAGAACTTTGATACTAATTTTTCTACTGTTTTACTGAGATATAATTCATGCACAGTAAAATGCTCAAATCTTGTGTACAGTTTTATGAGTTTTGACAAATGTATATACCCACGTCACCACCACCCAGATCAAGCTACAGAAGAACATCACCACCACTCAGAAAGTTCCTCCATGCTCCTTTCCAAGGTCAATGGTACCCCCCACTCCCTACATAACTGCTTACCACAGGTTAATCTGCCTCTCTCTGATCTTTAAGTAAATGGAATCACACAGCGTGTTCTTTTTCATCTACTTCACTCAACGTGTTTCTGAAATTCATCAACATTACTATGTTTCAGCAGCTTGTACCTTTTTATATTGCTATTACAGTACAGAACGTATAGTATACCACTGTATAAAAATATCATGGTTTTAAATCCACTTTAAATCTATTTTAAATTACATAAGACATTAATGTAATCTCATTATAAAAAGTTCAACCAAGATGAGCTTAAAGTCATCCTTTCCATTCACCTCAAACACTAGCCCTCTTACAGAAGAAACCAGTTTTAGCATGAATTCTTCCAGATTGTTTCCTATGGATTTACATTCACATATATGAATAAAAATTTGGTGCTTCTATCATGCTGATTGAGGGTAAAATACATCACTTGGGATTTGTTTTTAAATAACCTGATGACAGGGAAGGTTGGCAAGGGTACACATGAATTAAGAATGGCCATGAGGTGATACCTCATTGCAGTTTTTTTTTTTTTTTTTTGTGGTATGCGGGCCTCTCACTGTTGTGGCCTCTCCTGTTGTAGAGCACAGGCTCCGGACGCGCAGGCTCAGCGGCCATGGCTCACGGGCCCAGCCGCTCCGCGGCATGTGGGATCTTCCCGGACCGGGGCACGAACCCATGTCGCCTGCATCGGCAGGCAGACTCTCAACCACTGCGCCACCAGGGAAGCCCCTCATTGCAGTTTTGATTTGCATTTCTCTAGTAATTAGTGATGCTGAGCATCTTTTCACGTGTCTCTTGGCCATCTGTGTGTCTTCCTTGGTGAAATGTCTATTTAGGTCTTCTGCCATTTTTTAACTGGATTGTTTGTTTTTTTGATATTGACCTGTTCGTCTATTTTGGAGATTAATCCTGTCTCTTGTTTCATTTGCTAATACTTTCTCCCATTCTGAGGGTTGTCTTTTTGTCTTGTTTATGGTTTCCTTTGCTGTGCAAAAGCTTTTAAGTTTAAAAAAGTCCTGCTTGTTTATTTTTGTTTTTATTTCCATTACTCTAGGAGGTGGGTCAAAAAAGATCTTGCTGTGGTTTATGTCAAAGAGTGTTTTTCCTGTTTTCCTCTAGGAGTTTTATAATGTCTGGTCTTACATTTAAGTCTTTAATCCATTTGGAGTTTATTTTTGTGTATGGTGTTAGGGAGTGTTCTAATTTCATTCTTTTACATGTAGCTGTCCAGTTTTCCCAGCACCACTTATTGAAGAGGCTGTCTTTTCTCCACTGTATGTACTTGCCTCCTTTGTCATAAACTAGGTGCCCATCTGTGCGTGGGTTTATCTCTGGGCATTCTATCCAGAATGGCCATTATCAAAGAATCTACAAACAATAAAAGCCGGAAAGGGTGTGGTGAAAAGGGAACCCTCCTGCACTGTTGGTAGGAATGTAAATTGATACAACCACTATGGAAAACAGTACCGAGGTTCCTTACAAAACTAAAAATAGAACTACCATATAACCCAGCAATCCCACTACTGGGCATATACCCTGAGAAAACCATGATTCAAAAAGAGACACATACCACAATGTTCATTGCAACACTATTTACAATAGCCAGGGCATGGAACCAACCTAAATGTCCATCGACAAATGAATGGATAAAGATGTGGCACATATATACAATGGAATATTACTCAGCCATAAAAAGAAACGAATTGAGTTATCTGTAGTGAGATGGATGGACCCAGAGTCTGTCACACAGAGTGAAGTCAGTCAGAAACAGAAAAACAAACATCATAAGCTAACGCATATATATGGAATCTAAAAAACAAACTGTACTGATGAACCTAGTTGCAGGGCAGGAATAAACGCATATATGTGGAACCTAGAAAAATGGTACAGATGAACCGGTTTGCAGGGCAGAAACTGAGACATAGATGTAGTGAACAAACCTATGGACACCAAGCGGGGAAAGCAGCAGCAGGTAGGGGTGGTGGTGTGATGAACTGGGAGATTGGGATTGACATGTATACACTGATGTGTATAAAATGGATGACTAGTAAGAACCAGCTGTATAAAAAGATAAATTAAATAAAATTCAAAAAAACAAGGCTTTGAATACATTTCAGGGAAGAGGAAAGCACCAAAATAGGAAATATTCAAATCTGTCTATTTGAAATGGTAATTATTTCACCTTCTAATTATGAAAATAAAGCACCATTTAAAAAAAAATTAACTTAGGAAAAAAAAAAGGCAGGGCAGGAATAAAGAGGTAGACATGGAGGGGGGCTTCCCTGGTGGCGCAGTGGTTAAGAATCCACCCGCCAATGCAGGGGCCACGGGTTCGAGCCCTGGTCTGGGAAGATCCCACGTGCCACAGAGCAACTAAGCCTGCGCACCACAACTACTGAGCCTGCACTCTAGAGGCCAGGAGCCACAACTACTGAGCCCATGTGCCACAACTACTGAAGCCTGCACGCCTAGAGCCTGTGTGCTGCAACAAGAGAAGCCACCACAATGAGAAGCCCACGCACCGCAAGGAAGAGGAGCCCCCATTCGCTGCACCTAGAGAAAGCCCACGCACAGCAACAAAAACCCAACGCAGCCAAAATAAATAAAACAAAAATAAATTTAAAAAAAAAAGAGATAGACATAGAAAATGGACTTGTGGACAACGGGTGGGAGGGCGAAGCTGAAGCGAAGTGAGAGTAGCGTCGACATATATACACTACCGAATATAAAATAGTTAGCTGGTGGGAAGCAGCAGCAGAGCACAGGGAATCAGCTCGGGGCTTTGCGACGACCTAGAGGGGTGGGATACGGAGGATGGGAGGGAGGCTCAAGAGGGAGGGGATGTGGGGACATGTGTATGCATATGGCTGATTCACTCTGTTGTACAACAGCAACTAACACAGTATTGTGAAGCAATTATACTCCAAAAAAGATTTAAAAAAGAAAAAAAAAAAGAATGGCCATGAGTGGATTTATTGTCGACACTGGCCGATGATACACAGGAAGTTCATTTAGCTCTTCTCTGCTTTTTTATGTTTGGAAATTTACATAATTAAAACTTTAAAAAAAAAGGTACCAAACTGACCATATTGTTTGATAATTTACTTTTTGCTCCTAACATTATGTCTCGAGGTACTTCCATGTCCATACTTATAGATTTACTTCTGATTTCCTATGATATGGCTTTACCACACCCTATTTTACCGCTGTTGAGAAACAAAATTTCTGTCGAGAAACAAAAATTATTTCCATTTTTTTCACTACTGCTAAGGATATTACACTGAACAATCTTGTACTTGCCTCCTTGCGTACATGTGTGATGGCCCCCCCACCAGGGGAGTTGGGGAAAGTAGAGTAGTTAGGTCATGAGACATGCACATATTACATTCTACAAGAATGATGAAAACTGCCCTTCAGATGGCTGCATCAATGTATATTCCCAACAAGCAGTGTATGGCTGCATCATTTCACCACAATACTGGAGTTATTTAATCTTCACTAATCTGACAGGTAATACAAATGGACTCAGTTTTACTCTGCATTTCCCTGATTACAAAATGAGGCTCTCCAGTCTTTACATGTTTATTGGCCATTTGTATTTCCATTTCTGTGATACGACTTACCTTTTCCATTTTAAAAATGTACTATTTGTCTTTTTATTATTGATTTTTAATAGGCCTTCAAACATTCTGGATACTACCCTCTATCTATTAGGTACATTACAAATGATTTCTTCTAATTACTGCTTAACTTATTGTCTTCTAATGTACAAAATCTTCAAATGTTGGTGCAATTAAATGTATCCAAATTCTTCCATTATGGCATCTGTTTTGTGACTTAAGAAGATGTTTTCCTATCCCAAGGTTATAAACATATTCTTCTGTATTTTCTTCTAATGCTTTTATGGTGGGATGTATATGTCCTTTTAAATCTATTTAAGATTTTACCTGGAATTTAGTTTTTTTAATTGATGTGAGGTAGAGGTCTAAATTCATCTTTTTCCAAATGAAGAGCCAACTGTCTCAATACTATAAATAGCCTATTTCTTCCCTTTTGACTTGAAAGACTACCCTTCTCTTCTACTAATTTTTTTTCTACTAATTTTTAAAAAATCAAAGTGTTTAATCTTTATTCTCTTCCATTGATCCAGTTGTCTTCCTGCCCTAATACTTTTGTTTTTTATTCGAATTTCCTATACTGGGTATTACTTAATAGTTTTTTAAGTTGAAGGTAAAAATGCTTTTATAAATAAATCAAAATTGTGAGATATTCTTATATTGATATGTGATCAACTTTTAAAAATACAGTACGTTCATATGTCCACAGTCCATCAATTAATCTATGACTCTATATAAAATCCTACATATGGAAGAGTGTGAGATACATAACAGTAGTTTACAAAACCAGCCCACTGAGCCATTTTTGGCCAATAATGACCACTGTTTATTTCTTTGAATCTAAGATAGCTTCAATTAGAAGATGGATCATGACTTTATGTCATTAAGAAGGATTAAACTCTCAACTCTACCAATTTAATTGTAAGACACCATTGATTAGTGGATGCATGTCAATCTTCAGAGATGTTACAATGTAAAAAAAAAAAAAGTGTCTTAGAATCAATGCTACAACGAATATCCCCCCTATTAATTCCATGGAGACAATTTATTGTTAAAAAAATGTTTGTTTTACTTAAGCCAAAACACTTCCGTCCTTTCACACGTGTCTACAGTTTTCTAATGAAAATACTTACATCATCACAAGACATGTTGTACTCTGCTAATACAGTTCGACATCGAGCAGCTATACTGAATAAATGTGGTCAAAGGAAAGTTTATATCTGAAGAGTAAGCTTTTAAGAACACCTAGAGATTGGGAAGGTGGTTTAGTTCAGTTCAGAGAACAGAGCTCAATTCATGGTGAAGGATACATTGACGGTGCAACTACTCTCTTGTGTATTCCAGCGAAGAACAAGCCTATTAGAGTGACGCAGCTAACGGTGAAAAATGGGTGGTTCCATAGTGATGCGAAGAAGGACACCTGTAAAAGGGGTGGAAAGGTAAAAATGTTAAAAACCTTAGAGCAATATTGATTCCTACCTCCCCACTTGTGCATGAATGTATATAACATTTAATTATCTAAAATATGAGAATTTGGAAAGTTCGCTGGTGGCCTAGTGGTTAGAATTCTGGGCTCTCACTCCTGTGGCCTGGGTTCAATCCCTAGTCAGGGAACTGAGATCCCACAAGCCGCGTGGCATGCACCCCCCCCCCAAAAAAAAAAAACAGATAAACTATGAGAATCTGGAGACTTCCAAAAATCCTAGTTCTCCATATTGCTATACTATGAAAATTAAAATAATGTATGTTTTATATCTTCAGTGTAGCAAGACAATGTAGCAATATTCCCTCCATTCATTCCAAATGCTTCAACCATTAAAAATTTACTCCTATAATAAAAAAACACCCTACCAAAAATATTTACTGAAACCTTCCTAGTGAGAAGTACTTTAAAAAGCAGAAGACTACAAGTTCCACGAGAAAAGGGACACTGTCGTGGGCATCATTATTCTCCCAACACCTGAAACAGCACTTGGCAAATATAGGTGCTCAATAAATATTGTTGAATGAATGAAGATGAGGCCTCTGACTCTCAATGAAAACACAAGTCAGACGTGATCTGGTTATCTTCCCTGTTAAAAAGCAGAGGTGAGCAAACTCTGCCGTTCATAACCTGGTCTCAGTCTAATCATCTCCTGCCACACCTGCACACTTATGCTACCATTTTCCTTTTCTCCTCTTCACCTGGCTAGCTCCTACATATCCTTGTAAAAGTCAGTTCCAGCTTCACCCCTTCTCTTTGAAAGAGGCAAAACATGAGTTTGGTTTTGAAGCTACTAGGTTTAGATGGCCACAGAACATCCCAGCAGGGGAAAGTGATTAGTAGCTATCCATAAAGAACCAGAGTTCAAGAGAAACAAAGGGCTAATTTAAGATCTGAGAATAATCAGTTGACAGTAGAAAACAGAAGCATACATAATTCTAAGAGTAGGTAGAGGGACAAGGGTACAGGATGCAGGACTGGAACAAGAGTAGGCACTGAAGCCAGACCACTGGGGAATCGGAATGTGGACTGAGAAGACAAGTATTTAGAGTCTAGAAAAAGAAATGGAGTGGACTAGAAACTAAATGGGAGCACAGAACCAAGCTAAGAGCATCTGTGCTCCGCTCTGATAAGATATGTGTACCTGTTTCAAGACAGACAACTAAACTTATGAAGAGCACTGGCCTAGCATGGTACTCGTTAAATAAATTTGTCAAATGAAGAGATGACAGGTTGAAAACATCAGGAAGGAAGAAGCTCCCAGAAGGACGAGATCCTGAAGAAAGTTTAATATTCCAGAGTAATGTCTTCTTAAACCTCTGAGGACAGTTTAATTCCCACAGGAATTACGTGCCTATGTTTTATGCGCCCTGTACAAGATCAGCACATACAGTGTTTCAATCTTCATTAGACCAGTCAGTATCAGCCTGCCTTCCTCCACGGCAACAATCAACTGCATCCAGGTAACAGTTGCCTCCTTTAGTTCAGGCATTTGTGTACTTTCCAGTTTGCCATATTCCTTCTCTCCTTGTGTTCTTCCAGCTAGCCACTGGCTTTTGAGTTTGCAAGTCCCCTTACAGACAACTGCTATTCAAAACTCTTGTCAGGTTTGAGGTTATTAAATAGTGAAATGTAAAGAGCCAACCCTTAAGCTAATAGTTATACTCTCACCTAATTTAGAAAATTATATTAACTACAGAGTTTTGGGCCTATTTCAAATTACATTTAATTCTGTGTTTTATTAAGATCTCAACTAGCTGAAATCAGCTTATATTGTTCACAATTAGAAGTCAGATTCATTTCCCAAGATAGACCTTTTTTAATCTTCTTGCCAGCCTCCTTCACTCTTCCCCTAAAGATGAGTACCAAGTGCAGCCTTAAGATCAGATTTTTATAAATGAACATACAGGAGAGTTTCCTATCCATCACAGAAACCCCTCTATTAACATGAGATCCCATCACCAACCTCCCCTGCTTCCTATTCTTTTATTTCTCCACCTCAGCGGGTAGCGTCAGGGAGACTACATGGTAAACAACCCCCTGGCTGTCTGAACTGCCATTTAGACTGCTGACAAAAGCCTTATTATTAGGTTTTTCTTTTGCATAACCCAAAAGGTTGTAAATAAAGCTACTGGAAGTAGTATACCTAATTACAGTTTAAAAGGGGAAGTAGGGTTAAATTTGTGGAAACTACAACGTCATTATTACCTAAATAAACCTGAACTGGGGGAAAAAAACTTCACTGGAAAACTGAAGACGATTACTTCTCTAATAAAAAAGCCCAAGTTTGCAATTAAGGCACAAATTGGTAGAAAGAGATAGAAATTTGAGAAACATGCTACCAGCTTTCATCAAAGGATGCTTCAAGAAATAACATTATGAAATCTGTTATTGCATTTGGTACAGGAATATTCTTAGTGCCCAGTGGGAGATCTCTCAGTGTTTCTTATATTAAACTTCAGGCAGAATTTTTTTTTAAAGATAAATGATGAGAAAGAAAACCTTTGCTAGCTTAAAGAACTTACAAATGTGTTCTCACAGATAATGAAAACCGTGGAACTAGCTGTGACTTTAGAGACTAATTTAAAACTCAACCCTGGCAACTCTGCTGGCCCACAGGGCCTATGATATCAGTAACCTGGTTTCCTTCCTGGTTTTGACCTCGTACTCTGTTTTTACTGGTCTTGACTGTTTATTACATTTACATTTGCTATTTTATCATAACGTTTCCTGCAAAGTTGTCTCGAATGCTTTATGAGATGAGGAAAAGAATTAACAAAGATAATTCATAGAAGAAAATGTTGTTTTATAATTTTTAAAAGCTGGCACTGATGACACTAAATGAACAAAACAGAACAAAGACAACGTTTACACTGAAATATGTAAAAATGAGATATGTAAAAACTGTACGCAAGTTCAGAAATGAATGAGAAGTAATATAAGTGAGGTAGTATTTCTTAGGCCTTTTTCTCTGCAAAGATACTTAACCCACAGCAGCCAGCCAAAGTTTTTCTCAAGCAAATTAAGATAAAGCATAGTTTTAATACAATGATTAGTATCACTACTAGTTCTAATAGGTAGCATTTGATTAATACTTTACAAAGAACAAAGCACTGCTGTACCGTCTCAACCTGTTAAAGATTTAAAATCAAAACTTCTACCTTTTGCGTCTCGGGATCTATTAACCAGTTCCAGGCACCAGTAGCTGTACAGACAGATACCACTATAAGAAGCACTGATGAAAGATAAACATGAAATTAGTAAGGAAATAAGCTATTAATATGATACTCCCACCAGTTCTTAATACAACAGCCAAAGGATGCAGCGCTTCATTAAACAGAGAATGGACTCCACTCAGGACTTAGAGGAGACTTGCCATATGACCTTGAGGAATTCTCTGAAACAACGTGAACCTTAGTAACTGAGGAGGATACTGTCCCCCTTATTACTTTAGTCAAAATTCCTGAAGATTAATGAAATTAAAAGCAGTAAGAACCAAGATGGTAAAACTTTAATGTAAGATTTTCTTATGTAACTTTCAATGTCTTTACACTGATGTTACAGATCTAATAAATTCAAAACAAAAACCCCCCCCAAACCACCCCAAAAACCTCATTTTTCAAATATAAACAAACCAAACAAAGACTCTTCCATGAATGCACTGAGAATTTGGACTAAAGACTTTTGCCTTGCAGACAACTGCCTGTTGTTGAATTAAACAAAGGTCAATGTCAGGAAGTGTGGAGCACACCAATCAGTATCAGATTTTCTTTAAGGGACTTAAGGAAGGTTGGGGTAGAAATTATTGACAGTAGAAGTTCGAAAAAGTTTCTTTCTCCCCACTAAGCTAGAATTATTTAAAAAATTCTATATAGATCATAAGTAAAACTTAAGAATATATGGTATTACTAAAAAATAATAAAGGGGCACCAAGACCTAGTTACTATTCTGGAGACCAATCAGTTACTATCTTTCAGTTGGGATGCATACATTTTTAAAATGTAGAGATCAAGCTTCAAAGTGCAACATAAATATAGTAAAACTTTATCTAGAATTCGTGGTGATATACTTTTAGAAGAGGCAAATCATAGAATAACAATCTCATTTTAGATATTTAATAAAACGCAAAATTTCAAACTTATGTTCTCAGCTCAGAACAGATTAAACTCAGTTTCTTATAATTCTACACTTCCAATAAGAAACATGCTAAAGTATACAGATTTTTTTTTTTTTTTTTTTAATGAAGCAAAAGCAAAAGCAAACCCACCAGAAGGGACCTCATACACATACTTTGGTACACTGAACAAGCTGACGGCATTTGTATGTAAGCACTTAAGACCGTGAATCAGAGAAAAAGCGTGTTCATTACACTTTATAAGATAGAAAAGCATCATATACATTTTAAAAGATTCTCAAGTAACAGTGAAACAAGGTTTTGGGGGTAATTCCTAGGTAAACTGGAGAACCTGAGAAAAATCATTACTTGTGAATTCTAACCAATCAGAATTCCTGTAGCATATGACTAATACTTTGCAAATAGATTTACTAAAAATACACAAAAAATCTCGACATAGGAGAAGACCCTTAACTTCAATAGGGCTCTTCAGTTTGGTCCCACAAAGTGAATTATACTTCAAAATAAAGTATGTCCTCAACATGTGCTGCTGTACTTCCTTCTTGGCAGAAATTAAATTTCAGCAAGGAACAGCCAAGAAATTAAGACTGTCCCAACATAAATTAGCAAAATATTTTGCTTATTGAGGTCATCACTTGTATATTCGTCTGCATTTCCTATATATTTCCAGGGGGCAGTAACCACAATTCTTTCAAATCATATTTTACAGCACTCGTTGAATATCATTTTCCTTAACAAACTTTATTTCAATAGTTTGTAGGCAAAATTGTAAAACTGCTAGACAGACTACTGAAATTTTTATTACGTGTGCTGGTTATCAGATTTGTAATATTTGTTTAAAAGTATACGCATTTTACTGTAAAAATAAAAATTCAACCACACAAAATAGACTATTCTCTTAGGGTTGTCAGTTTCTTTTCTTAAAATTTCTCTGTAATGCCATTATTTACAATGTTAAATAAATGTAAAACTGTCCAAATAAAAGGGAATCTTATGGTTTAATAAAGATTTGCAAGCATTTGTAAAACAAAAGTTTTACAGAGAAGCAAATCATTGCTAGGCAGGAATAAAAGTATCAATTTTAAGTTTATTTTCCCTTAAAAAACATCCAGGCACTTACTTCTCCAACGTCCAGTGGCAGGTTGCAAACAATGAATATATTCAGTAAGTCTCCTCTCAAAAGCCTTGAGATCTAGGCAAAAAGATTTCAATTTTCTAATTAGCTACTCTTACTAGTTTGAATCTATTAAGATGAATTTTAGGTACTCTGCTTCAGGTCTTGCACACCAACTTACATGTATCACTGCACTGTTTACTTCTTTACTATGACAGCTTTAAACACTTGACAAATACATTAGGTTTCTTTAATTCCAATTTCACATATAAAGAAACCGGCCGATTCACTTTTAGAAGCGTCATAAAATGGTATGTGGAAAATCAACAGCAGCCTCAGCCGGTGCCAAAAGCTAGAAATTTGGGGGTTGCAAATAAAGGATCAAAATCAGCTCGAGTTTTAATTCCGTTGGAACCAAGAACTCCCTATTAGACAGAACAACGTTATTACCTAACACCGAAGTCTTCGAAGTCAATTTGAACGCAATTACCCAATTCCGAATTCCAGCCCTTGTATTTAATTAATGGCTACGCTTTCAGTCTGGACTTCTGATGCGGCTAACAGGTGGGTATGCAAAGACGTTCCCCTTTCCTCCCTCCCAAGAGGTTACAATTGATCTTCGTGGCACTTCTGGAGCGCCGACGCCTGGTTCCACAACACAGGGGCACCCAAGGTACTCGCTCTGAATGAGCAAGGTGGGGTATCACTTTCAGTTGCGTTTTTTGTTTTGTTTTGGTTTTTTTGCGGTACGCGGGCCTCCCACCGCTGTAGCCTCTCCCGCTGCAGAGCCCAGGCTCCGGACGCGCAGGCCCAGCGGCCATGGCTCACGGGCCCAGCCGCTCCGCGGCATGTGGGGTCTTCCCGGACCGGGGCGCGAACCCGCGTCCCCCGCATGAGCAGGCGGACTCCCAACCACTGCGCCACCAGGGAAGCCCTCAGTTGCGTTTTTTGAACTTTAGAAAAGGAGACCAAGAGGCACTCCCTTACCCCGGCAGTTACCAAAAACCACGGCAGAAATCAGGGATACAATTCGTGCAGGTATCAAAAAAAAATAAAGTGAGTTAGCATACTACAAGGCACGAAGTAAAAATGTTTGCTAATGAATGAGAAATATAAGCAGCCAGGACGAGAAGCTACCTGGTCTAAGCTTGGGGAATGGAGGAACTGACGCAACGCGCCACCGACAAGCGCAGGCTGAGGCCACGCGCGCCGGAAGCAGCGACCGGCCGGATACTGCCGCCCCTTGGCCCCTGGACCGGCCCCCGCGCCCCCAGCCCCGGACCCCGTCAGTCCAACCCTCGCGGCCTCCTCTCTCCGGACCAGGTTTCCACGATTCAGGCCCCTCCGGAGCCCCGCCAGCTTCCGGGAGAAGCCCGGAACCTGCCCAGGCGGCCCACCCTACCTTCCGCCTGCTCCAGCGAGTTCATGTCGGGCTGCAGCTCCGTTCACCGGCGCTGCCCCGTCCGCATCGCAGCTCCGCTGCCCCCTCCAGGCCCGCAGCTCCAACTCCCACCTCTAACAACTCCCCTGCGCCCCTCCTCTTAGCACCGCCCCTTTCCTAGACCCACTACGTTCATTGGACGCTTCTGCCAGACCCCATGACTAAGACGGTTTTCTATTGGCTAGCTCCTGCACTAGCTTGGCACCTGGAGTTGGACGGTCAGCCAGAGGGGCCAAGAGCTGACGGCAGCCGAGTAGGCGTAACACTGGCGCCGCCTCCTGCCCTGGGGAGGAACTGCAGCCTGTTCGCGCAAGTCGGTTCATTTCGTATATTCCTCGTTTCCTGCTTGGTTCTTTCATTACTTGAATACTTATTGTGCATCCGCTACCTTCCGGGGAGTGTTCTGGTCACTAACGAGGGATGCAGTAATCAACGAGCTAGCTCTCCCTCTAGGATTCAGAGGGAAATAAGGTATGTACAGAACCAACTAGAAACCAAATAATGGAATTTCTTACTTTATAGTAGCTCTTTCCTAGATACCCGTGCCACAGCTACTGAAACCCGCGCACCTAGAGCCTGTGCTCAGCAACAAGAGAAGCCACAATGAGAAGCCCACGCACCGCAATGAAGAGTAGCCCCCGCTTGCTGCAACTAGAGAAAGCCCGCGCGCAGCAACGAAGACCCATCGCAGCCAAAAATAAATAAATAAATTTTTTTTTTTTTAATGTTGAACATGCCTTTGAAAGGGTGCACATTTTTATCCTGTCGCTGGCATCTGCACGTATGGATCACGGGCGCTTGAGGAACAGTAAGGGAGGAGGAGAGGAAAATAGGCGCTCATAGTTAGGCTAAAAAATTTGGAACCTGAAGTAATGGGGAGACCAAAGGATATATATTTGCAGAAACATCATATCAATGAGATTTGTCAAGAAGATAGTCAACAAATATTTAAGGAATACATGTTCCAGGCACTGGGATATGAGCCGAGAATGCAAAGTCTCTAGGAATCACTCCTGCCCTCTGTAAAGATAGAGTTTAGTGTAAAAACAAAAGACAAAATGCTAAAGACTCTTAAAACATCAGTGATAAGATGAAGATCTGCTTCAAAGAGGGATATCCATACAATAGCTAAAGTTTATTACATTTTACTGGAGGTCTGGCGCTACATCTTTTATAGTTCAGGAGAATTAGACTTCTTTTAAACCCCACAGCAGCTCTATGAGCCAAAACGTGTTATCAAATCCATTTTAGAGTTGAGTTTATAGATATAAGTAGATGAGTTGATCAGCTCCAAACCCTGTAGCTGGAATTATCATTGATTCTCTCCCTCTCTTTCTCTCCACATGATACATCAGATCAGGTAGCAAATCCTGTTGGCTCTACTCTGCAGCTACCACTCTGATCCAAGCCACCATATAGCCTGGATTTACAGCTGTGGCCTCTCACTAGTCTCCTGTTCCCACCCTTTCCACAGAGTGGTTTGTAAAACACTAAAAGATCACAGTAGTTTTGTCCTCAGACCCTACCAATGGCCCCTTGCAGTGACTACAACAGAGATCTTCATGCCATTTCCATGGCAATACCTTCTAAAATGATTTTGACAAGTTATATGCCTCCTCATATGTTTTTAAAATTACATCTGAAATTTTCATCATGGGCTTGAATCCTTGTGAAAGATGTAATTTCTGGTATTGTATACATTGACATTTGGAAAGAAACTCTTATATCACTCTTTTAAAGGTATTCAATGGGATTTAAATACCATGGCAATTTGACACCCACCATCATCCCTTTAAAAATACATGAATAAAAAAAAAATACATGAATATCTCCTATGAATATGGACATAAAAATCCTTTAAAAAATTAGCAAGTCACATCCAGCAACATATAAAAAGGATTATACAGCAAGATGAAGTGTGTTTTATCCTTCAAATGCAAAGTTGGTTTGACATCAGAAAATGAGTTAGTGTAATGAATCATATAAATAGAATAAAGGACAAAAACCACGTGATGTGATGAGGATGTAGAGAAATTGGAGAATTCATACATTGTTAGTAGGAATGTATCAATAAAATGGTGCAGCCACTTTGGAAGACAGTTTGGCGGTTGAACAAAAAGTTAAGCACGTAGTTACTATATGAATCAGCAATTCTACTCTTAAGTATATACCTGAGAGAATTGAAAACATGTTCACGAAAAACCTAGTACATAAAATGTGCATGGCAGCATTATTCATAATAGCCAAAGAGTGGAAACAACCCAAATGTCCATCAACTAATGAATGGATAAGCAAAATGTGATATTTCTATAGAGTGGAATATAATTCAACAATTTAAAAAATGAAGTACTGATAAATGCTACAAAATGCACACCCATAGAGACAGGACTTAGATAGTGGTTGCCGGGGGCTTAAGAAAAGGGAAAATAGAAAGTATGATATTTCTTTTTGGAGTGATGAAAATGTTCCGGAATTAGATAGTGATGATTGCATAACTTTGTGAGTATACTAAAAACCACTTTAAAAGTGAATTTTATTATATGTAAATTATATCTCAATTTTAAAAGTATGGGAAATCCCCACATGATCATCTCAATAGTTGCAAAAAAAGGATTTGACAAAATCCAACACCCTTTCATGATAAAAACACACAACAAACTAGGAATAAAAGGAAACTTCCTCATTGTTGGTAAAGAACATCTACAGAACCCATAGCTAACTTCATACTTAAAGGTGAATGTTTTCCTCCTAAGATGCAGAAGTAGACAAAGATTTCCATGCTTACCACTTCTGTCCAACATCGTAATGGAGGTTCTATCAGGCAATTAGGCAATAAAATGAGATCAAAGGAATCCATATTGGAAAGAAAGAAGTAGAAGTAGAAGACATGATCTTATATATAGAAAATCCTAAGGAATTCACCAATAAAGTATTATTGGAATTCACCAATAAAAAAATGGGTTCTGGGGCTTCCCTGGTGGCGCAGTGGTTGGGAGTCCGCCTGCCGATGCAGGGGACACGGGTTCGTGCCCTGGTCCGGGAAGATCCGACGTGCCGCGGAGTGGTTGGGCCCGTGAGCCATGGCCGCTGGGCCTGCGCGTCCGGAGCCTGTGCTCCGGCAAAGGGAGAGGCCACAACAGTGAGAGGCCCGTGTACCGCAAAAAAAAAAAAAAAAAAAATGGGTTCTGCAAGGTTGCAGGGTATAAGATCAGTATACAAAAATCAAGTGTATTTCTCTGCACTAGTAATGACCAACCCCAAAATGAAATAAATGTAACTACACTTATATAGCATCAAAAAAAAATTAAGAATACATTTTAAAAAAGAAGGGCAAAACTTGTATTCTGAAAACTACCAATATAAAACATTATTGAAAGAAATTAACGAAGACCTAAAAAATTGGAAAAAGTCCCATGTTCATGGATTAGAAGACAATATTGTTAAGATGGCAATAAAAAAAAAAAGATGGCAATATTCTCCCAAATGATCTACAGAGTCAATGCAATACTTATTATAATCCCAGCTGGCTTTTTTGCAGAAATTGACAAGTTGATCCTAAAATTCATGTGGAAATGCAAGAGACCCAAAGGAGCCAAAACAATTTTGAAAAAGGAAATAAAGTTGGAGAGCTCACACTTTCACATTTCAAAACTTACTACAAAGACGGAGTGGTACTGGCCTGTGATAGACATATAGATCAGTGGAATAGAATTAAGAATTCAGAAATAAACCCTGCATTTATAGTTAATTGATGTTTGACAAGGGTGCCAAGACAATTCAATGGTCTTCTTAACAAATGATGCTGGAACAACTGAACATCAACATGCAAAAGAATGAAGTTGTACCTGTTTCTTTACCATACACAAAAATTAACTCCAAATGGATCATGTAAGAGCTAAAACTATAAATCTCTTTGAAGAAAACTTAGGAATAAATCTTTGTGTCCTTGAGTTAGGCAAAGCCATATTAGATACAATAACAAAAGCACAAATGACAAAAGGAGAAATGGATAAATTGGACCTCATAAAAATTAAAAACTTTGTGGGGACTTCCTTGGTGGTCCAGTGGTTAGGACTCCGTGCTCCCACTGCAGGGGGCCAGGGCTCAATCCCTGATTGGGGAACTAAGATCCCGCATGCCTTGTAGTGTGGCCAAAAAAAAAAAAATTAAAAACTTTGTGCTTCAAAGGACACCACTGAGAAAGTGAAAAGAAAGACAACCCATAGAATGGGAGAATATATTTGCAAATCATATACCTGATAAGGGACTTATATCCAGAATATATTAAAAACTCTTACAACCCAACAATAAAAAATGGACAAAGGATTTGAATAGATATTTCTCCAAAAAGAAAATACCAGTGGCCAGCAAGTGCATGAAAGATGCTCAATATCATTATCCATTAGGGAAATGCAAATCAAAACCATGATGAAAAACTACTTCCCATCCATGGAGATGGTTGGAATTAAAAAAAAAAACAACAGATAATAAGTGTTATGGAGGATATATAGAAATTAGAACCTTTGCACATTGCTTCTGGGAATATAAAATTATATAGCCACATTGAAAAACAGTTTGACATTTTTTTTAAAGTTAAACATAAATTCCCATATGGCCCAGCAATTCCACTTCTGTTTACCTACGAAAAATGAGAACATATGTCCCTACAAAGACTTGCGTAACAAGACTTCATAACAGCACTATTTATAACAGTAAAAAACTGGAAACAAATGTCCATCAAATGGTGAATGGATAAGCAAAATGCGGTATCTCCATACAACTGAATATTATTCAGCCATAAAAGTGAATGAGGGGGGACTTCCCTGGTGGCCCAGTGGGTGGGACTCGGTGCTCCCAATGCGTGGGCCTGGGTTCGATCCCTGGTCAGGGAACTGGATCCCGCATGTATGCTGCAACTAGGAGTCTGTATGTTGCAACAAAGATCCTGCATGCCATAACTAAGACCCGGTACAGCCTAAATAAATAAATAAATGTTTTTTTTTAAAAAAGAATGGGATACTGACAAAGGGTACAACAGACGAACCTTGAAAAAATTTTGCTAAGTGAAAGAAACCAGTCACAAAGGACT